TAAATAATAATTTATAACTTATAATAACTAATTTCTATAATCAAAACATAAGGTTTTCAGATACAACTATTCTTTTAATAATACAACAGTTGAGTAAAAATTAGGTCACTTTTACACTGACAATCTTTAAATTAGTGATCTAGATAATATATATAAATAACATTATGACTAATAGTTCAAAATTTCTTTTTAGAAATAAGCGGAAGAAAAAAATTTATCAAAATACAGTTATTCGAATATTTTATTTAAAAAATATAAAGAAACTATTAAAATTAAATTACCGCTAGAGAGCTTCTTAGATAAGTACATAAATTAAGAAAATTACCTATATCTTACAGGCAAATAATAGTAATTAAAACAATTTTTTTTTAATATATTTTTCTACATCACTCAGTTTTCAACCTCGTATGTAATGTTATTCTTTCTTTGATTTACGCGAATATTTGTCATTTTAAAATAAAACTATCTTCTCCCTTTCCCTTTTGGGGTTCCACCAAATCTCACTTAGGGCTGCTCCACACTATAGTGTCGATCATAGTCCGTTTTCGGTCCGATAAAATATTTCTATACAAGAAACGTTGCTGGAGTGTGATTCGACCGGAACGTGAGTCTTACTAATAGTGTGAATGCACTCATTATTTCTTGTATAACAATATTTTACCAGACCGATATCGGACCGAGAACGGATTGTAATCGGCACTATAGTGTGGAGCAGTCCTTAAGCGCACCATAAGGGGAGGGGGGAAAGGGGTCAGGAGGTTCTATATAGAAAGAAAAACAGCGCACGTAATTAATGGACGTCCCTTTAAGAGTAACCAGATAATAATTGTTCTCTAGGTGAACACTTACATATACATTCTTATTAAAATGTATCCAGAGCAACAGAAGTTCTCAAATATGTTATGTAAATCATTCAACATTTAAAAGACCAATTGTCTTGTTTCTCACTAACCTTTTTCCAGACACTGTCTTAAAAATAAATATTGAAGTCAAAAATTAACTGAAATTAAGTTCAAATTTTAAAAACATAAATTTTTGAAGTACATTAGTTTACTTTGGAACCATCTTTATCTAATCTATACACTGAGTCGCCACTCTATTCCCTTTTTACCAATATTAAGAAAAAATAATTTACACTTATGTTAATTCTAAAGCCTATTTGTTTCATTGTGTACTATATTTTAAATATGTACATATAATAAATAGGGAATATGCGTCATTAGTACTTACTTTAGTTTAACAAAATCGCTAATCGCTCCGATATGATATACTCTGACGTCACATTCAGTCTGACCAATGGCGTGCATTTCTACTACTTTGAATTTCTCACCTATATTTGCAGTTTTTAGCCATTTTTTTCTTAATCGAAAAGAAATTACATTTTTTTTAATACATGCTTAATACAAAAGCAATAAAGATTATAAGAAAAATATTTCACCTTTATTTAAATTACACGCATATTCCCTATTGCTTGAAAAAATATTGTGAAACATTTATACATATAATAATTATAAGTAATCAGTACAAAAATGGCCTAATTTCAGCTATCTATTCTAATTTTAGTCAACAGGTGGGCTAAATAGCCAACTAACTATGCACATTTTCTCTTTATCAATACCACATATATTTGTAAGCATATGATGTTTATCAAGAAAACCGAAGAAATATTGCTACAAATTTAATTAGAGGTGTAAAATAAAAGTATCCTCATGTAAAACAAAGCACTTAACTGAAATTATTTTTTCAAACAAATATTGCAAGATACTCAGCCCTTTTTACCATCCCACTGCTGAGCACAGGCCTTCCTCAAATACGAAGCAGGCCATAGTCCCCCACACTGGTCAGGTATCAACTTGCTAGGTTCTCTCAGACATACAGGTTTCGTCAAGATGTTTTCCTTCACAGTAAGACAAGTGGTGATCACATTGAAAATGAATCGGACATGAAAGAAAGAATCATGTAAAACAAACAAAAAAAAATATTAATAAAAATATTGCAAGAGCTAACATTAGTAAAAAGGTGCAATTAGAAATAAATAATAGAGAGTAGTTATTTATCTGTAATTCATTATACAAAATATTATGTAATTTCTATACATTCTGTGCTTAAGCCACTTTTGCACTGTTAACATCAAATACATATTATAAGTGGTACATTTGATATACACATTAAAATAAATACAAAGTGAGTAAAAACTAAATCTAAGATTATAATAGGATATTTGACACTTAAATAATAGTAATGACTCACCTTTGCTTCGCTCAGGTCCATCCCTAGGTACATTTGAATGGTTAGTAATTAGAATAGGCAAACTCCATAATATTTTGTTTATAGAAATAACATAATTTAATAAAAAAAAAAATTAAAATTGGTTGTTTCCGACATGCAGATCAGTCATCTTTAAAAAATAATGATGTAAAAAAACAGTCACGAGGACTGCCGACAGAAGTGAAAACTTAAAACTATAAACAAACAGTTGTTATTTTTCGATATTCATATTAATTGTTTGATCCTACATTTAAATTTTTAAATTAAAACTGTTCACATTTATCTGGTTTCGATATCTATCGGCACTCTGAGTGTTAGCGTTAACACGTCACGTGACCATGTCGATGACGACTTACATGAATTTATACTATATCAAAATAATTCATATTGTTATGAAATTTATTAAAGGCATATATTTAAGGAATTTAAGATGTATCTTTAGGGATACCCCTTTAATTTAATCAGATGATGTCAAAAAAGAATTTTATGTAAATTGTAAAGTTTAAGTAATTGGTTATGTTGTCAAGACTGCCTTTCTGTTTTGGTTTTTAACCAATTCTGTGTAATAGAAGCTTTATAGGTGCACAGTTCTTATTGGATTTTCAGATCTCTTAACTCTCTAACTATCTCTTAACTCTTTTTTTTTAAAAGAGTTAAGCTCTCCAGTAGATTTAAATATACACAATTTTATTTTATTTTAAAGCCATAATTTAAACCGAACCCTTGAGCTAAATGATGAATCATTATCAAATCTGGATAATTGTATTAAAATATTATATTTTATATTGATTACAATAAAGGCCTTAAGGCCTTAAGGTGACAAATGGTATCAAATTGATATGGAAAATGGAGATCTATCAAATATCCTATTTTATCCTTCATAAGTTAATTATAACTTTCCAAAATAACTAATAATACTAAAAATTCATCCAAAAAATCATAATCTCTTATGAATCCTATTTAAATGAGTCAAAAGCGATTGCTTTGCTTTAAACTTTAAAGAGCAATGATCACATTCAAATGTGACATTTTTGAATGTATGTTTATTTGTTACATGTTTCACCAGCCTATCCTTACTTGTAAATTTCTTTTGACATTTCACACAAGCATTCTCAGCTAATATCTGCTTCAGTTTCATGTGTCGACGTAAACAATATCTTGATTTGAATGTTATGGCACACGATTCGCACTTTGATTTACTCTTTATTTGATGTTGAGTCTGACAATGGATATCTAAATTACTTTTTTTATTAAACACAATTTGGCATTCATTGCATTCGAAAGTCGCTTCTCGTTGCTGACTTTGATGATTTGAAGTCATGTGGCGGAAAAAGTGACTGTTTTGGGTGAATTTAACCCGACAATACTGACAGGTGTATATGAAATTTCTATCGTCCTGCCTCGGCTCTTCCTTTTTCCTGTTGGCTGGTCTTGTTATCCGAATCCTCGGGCCAGTTCTTACTGGTTTTTTATTCATCACTAAGCTTTTTCAAACGGTTGTTTTAAACTAACATTTTTGTGATTGTTCGTACACAAATATCAACACGTAGACAATTATGAATAAAAGTATTCTTGTATTATTTTATGATGTACTTATAGTTTTTAATTACTTTCGTAGTTTAATTAGATGAGCAAATAAGGTTTCTTATATTTATTTTCAAAATATTTTACAATTTTAGAGTTAGTTACACGAAACGTCAAATAATTAAAGTTTGGCAAAGTGCGTTCGGAAATTGACGTTCGACAACTTTCACTTTTTGTTGTTTGTAGAAAAATAAACATTTCATTATTAAATTACATGACGTGTTATTGTTACTTCATCCTTATAATTTTTTGAGCAATATTTCATAGTTTCTAGATAAATAGTACATCGCTTAATTTTTACCTTAGTATCGCTTAGTTACATTTAATTTAGGACAAATATAATATAATATATAGAATAACATAATATTTGGTTAACTTTAACCACCCAAATAAACGTAAAATTTGTTATGCATTCATTTAAAAAATATTATGCATTGCAATGCATGTATATTGCGCTTAGGATTTAGAAATACAAAATAAAAATAATATTGCCATAATTTGTAAAATTATTTTTAAAATAATTTTTAGTTAATAATAAAAAAAAACAAAAAAGTCCGATACTTACAAACGAGTTTTAGCTGGTGTAATAATTAATAAAATGTGAGTTTATTTTCAAGAAACAACAAGTACTTTTTTAAAATGTAGTTACAAATTTTTGATTTCTCAAAATTTGCTCCATTGACTATTTTACTTTATAATATCAAATATCAGATCCCCAAATCCCCATCCACATCCTGTTGCAAAAGTTTTTAATATAAAATAAGAAAATTATCACAAATAGCTTATAAAATATTAAAAAATAAATTACAAGATATTTCAACGATTTGTTTAAAAAATTGCAAGAAAATATTACACCATTCATTTCCCATTTTTCTCCAATCGATTAATTACATTACATATTACGCCATTGCCGCTTAAAATCTACATCCGATAAAAAAAATCACGTACAAATGTTTTTCGTAATAACACACGTATTTTGCCGCGGAAATCTAGAAAATGTTACATTATCGCCTTATAGCACTGTAAATAAAGTTTAAAATAGCGTAAATTAATATTTGAAAACTCCATTAACCAATTAGTCAAGAAATAAATATATATGAAGCAGGTTGATTTAATTTTAATTCATAATTTTTAGTGAAATTATAGAAATGCACCGATTTGGTGTAATAATTTTCGCCTCCATTTTAGTTGGCGTGTTTGCTTTTGATAAATCTAAATTAGTTGAAACAAGTGAAGGCACAGTCGAAGGGTATTTGTCGGAAAGTGGTCTCTGCTATGAATATTTAGGGATAAGATATGGAATTCCACAGAAATTTAGAGTGAGTATCTTATTTTATTATATTTTCCTTAGAATGTTTTAATAAAAAACTACATTTCTAATTAAGATTATATAAATAGATATGGATAGAGGTAGCTTAAAGATCAATTTCCATATTTTTAACTTCAAAAAAGGCGAGTTTTCAAATAACTTTTTACACTTATAAATTTATCCCAAAGGCTTTTTAAATTTTTATTACAAAATTTCATGCTTCCTAGACTCAGAAATTTGAAGAAATATACCTATATTCTTTATTGCACAAAAAAAAGTAAAAAATATATCGAAAATGACGTGGACAAAGGTGGACTTATCTCTATATGAGATCTCTTCCAGTCAACCCATGTATGTGGGAAATAGTGTTAAGTAGCGGGACAGAAGAGAAAGTAAAATTGAATAGAAAATTGAATAAAATAACAATAAATAGTTCTATATACATTATTTCCGTAATTTATTAGATCTAAAGAAATCAACAGACAAAAATATTTATAGGTAAAAATATAAACTAACAAAGGACTAGTAGAGTGCTATGCTCTAGTCCATATTTATAATTCTACTACATTTTTTTTATTGATTCAGATTTTAGCAAAACGGACAAATTAAAAATACAATTTTCTAATTATCTAGTTATACAAACATAAATTACAAACTAATAATGATAAAATAAAAACAATCAAAGTTTATAAATGTGTTTCTTAGTTCACTCAGTAACTACTACTGAATGGCTTTGCCGCAAGCCAAACTAGTTCATTAATTTTAATAATTTATATATATTTTTTTTATTTCAGGCGCCCTTACCACCACCAAAATTCTCCGGAATTTACAAAGCCAATAACCCCAACGTCCTCTGTCCACAGTTTATGACCCATGACCCTCTAGCGGCTCCAAGCGACAATGAGGACTGCTTGGTCCTTAACATTTTTGCTCCATCTTTCTTAAACAGTACTTTTCCAGTCATGGTTTTCATTCATGGGGGAGATTTCGGGGTAGGATCGGGTTCACCAAGCTTCTATGGTGCACAGTATCTGATCAGCCATGGGGTTATTGTCGTTACCATTAACTACAGATTGAATGTCTATGGCTTTCTCAATTTAGATATCTTGGACGCTCCTGGAAATGCTGGGTTAAAGGATATCAGAGCAGCATTAAGATGGGTTAAGCAAAATATTGCTAATTTCAATGGAGATCCTGATAATGTAACTGTTTTTGGTCAAGGCAGTGGTGGGGTAGCTGCTATATATCTGACAATGTCAGAATCTACTAAAGGACTGTTCGATAAGGTCATATCTGAAAGTGGAAGCCCATTCTCTCCTCAATCCTTTGATCCAAAACCAATAATGACTGCTAGTCAAGTGGCCAAATCTCTTGGCTTAACTAGCAAAAAACCTAAAGAGTTGTTTAAAATTTATTCGGAAACTGATATAAATAAAGTCGAAGAAGCGATTGAGAAGCAAATGAATGCCAAATCTGTATTTTTACCATCAGTAGAGAAAGTTTTTGATGGAGAAGAACCATTTTTAACAGATACTCCTTATAATATATTATCTGCTGGACTGAATCATCCTAGTTTTAACCCTGTTCCTATGATAATTGGTCTCAACACTGTCGAAGGCCTAACCAGCACATTAGACTACTACACAATTACCAGCCAAATGGACAGAATTAAAAATGAAGACTATTCCGCTTTAGATCAAAGAAGTTTATTAGTTCCAGAAGAAGAAAAAGAAGAATTCCGAAATATGATCAAAGAAACGTACTTTACAAACATAAGCTCAGATGAAGCCCTTATAGGTGGGATAATAAATTTGAATACTGATTTTTCATTTGTGGGACCAGTTTCGCTGTTTTCAGAGATATATGCCAACAATTCTGGCATGCCAATATATGAGTATATATTCAGTTATATTGGCAACAGAAATCTTGGCAGATTACTCACAAATAGTAGTTTAGGAGCTACAGCGAATAGGGACGAGCTGTTCTACATTTTCGAGTTGGAAAGGATGCCTCTGCCAATGGACGAAAACGACGCCAGAATTATAACTTTCATGACTATGATGTGGACTAACTTTGCCAAATTCGGGTAAGTTACTAATTTTTTAATATCTCTATTCACTTTTATTTTGTTTGATCAGAATTTAATACGTTTCAACACAAGAAGTCTTATTCAAAATTACAAGAAGAAAATGAGATTTCCATTTTTAGCTATTTTTGTAGTGAAAACTTGTATAGGCAGGTTTGTTTGTATGGGGAGTAAATTCATGTAAGTCGTCATCGACATGGTCACGTGACGTGTTAACACTAACACTCAGAGGTGCCGATAGATGTCGACACCAGATAAATGTAAACAATTTTACAAATTTTAATTTAAGATCAAACAATTTGAATATTCAAAAATAACAACTGTTTATAGTTTCATGTTTTCACTTATGTCGGCAGTTCTTGCGTCTGTTTTTTTATATTAAAATGCTTTTAAAATATGCATTACATTACAATTTCACTTATGTAACAGTTGCTTATGTGCTATTTATTTCCTACTTTATATATCTATGAATCAAATTTCACCCAAATCCGCCTTTTGAGTGTGAAGAAGGAACAAAAAAACACACATTCAAAAAATGCATAATAGTAATCCGAGAAGCTATAAAACTTTCATAGTACCTATTTTATATAAAACTATCTTTTCGGATTATTTCGTGGATTTATTTTGAATTTTTTTTTCCCGACGTTTCGAATGCTTTACAGCGCACATGGTCACGGGAGACGTTTAAGACGTTTCAAAGATATTATTAACTTGTTACAGACAGTGCCTACCGATAATTTTATAAAAACTTTAATAGTAACTAATTTTATTCTAATTCAAATCTTCTAGAACTCCAACCCCAGACCCGAGCAATGGTTCCTGGTTACCACACCACAACCTCGCCATCAACCTCGAACCCCAATACGTTGCACCATTGACCCCTGAACGAGCTTACTTCTGGAGATACTTCTATTATAAATATGGGGCTGATGTTCCAAAAATATAGGTTATAATAATAGTGGAATAAAAATATTTATTTTATTGTTAGTTATTGGTTGTTTTATTATAATGATACCTATCTATTTATTCATACATACGTCTTACGATGATGTCTATAGCAATAGTATGGGGTGAGGTGCTTCCGACTCTTTTTCTTATGGTGTTCAATGACAAACGAGCAGACAGACCACCTGTTGGAAAGCAGTACCTGTAGCCCATAACACTTACAATGATCCTACTCCTGAGACTCTATATCCATCGAACTCTCTCGTAGGTTACTTTTCTGAAGTTTCACTTCTACTGTGTGATATGCACACACACGCGCTTTTTTTGACACTGTCTGAATATTTTTAAATTAAATATTAAGCCCCGTTAAGCTTAACCTTCGGTTAACTACCTAAACTATGGAGCATATCTTCTCCACATTTCTAAAATATGAAGCTCTCAGAAGAGACTATTTTCGCGTAATTCACAAATATTAATATCATAACCGTAGCTTGTTTTTCGAAATATCTATACATATAATAAAACTGTAACTGAGTCGAATCTGTACATTCAATTTTTTTTTTAAATCTTATTGAAGTAGTCATTATTATCGATACAGAGGCCGAATCTATAGCTTTTAGACTTTTATTTGTCTGTCCGTCTGGGAATTGACACTGGACAGTTTTGATAGCTGGTTATCAGCATGAGCGGTGGTACCTAACCTAATTAAATTTTTAGGGATGTTTGATGACAAGAAGTCGAAATGAACGGTTATTTTAATTAAAAAATCTTTATTATTATAAAATACATTGATTAAATACAAGTTTATTTTAATATCTAAATGAAATAAGTTTACGGCTACAAATCCGGAGGTCCTGAGTTCGAGTTCCGAGAAGGGCCAATTATTCTGATTATAAACTAGGTAATTGCACCGTCATACGAACACGATCTGATCCTCTCCGATCTTGACGAATGGACCTCCCACCGGAATATGAAAGTGAAAGCAATTCAAGAGTGCACACTCCATAATACCTTTATGGCATAAACATATTTAAATAATTAAATTATAATTAACAGTAACGCCGATACCCAAACATCCCTCTTATGAATGAGATAGTATACCTCTTTTTACTTCTGCACGTTATTCCTTCTCTACATTATTCTTTCTTTACCGTCCCCTCTACATCTTTCTCCTTTAGACGGTGAAATGCTTGAAATATGCCAGCTAGTGTTTGATCAAGGAAGCCATACATATATTTGTAAGATTAAAATGCAGTGGCAGCCCCGTGGTAACGCGGTCGCTCGGGAAACCGTGTGAAGCGGGTTTAAACTTTAAATCAAGTTCTCGAAAAATGTGACGTCTGTCAACCCGCAGTCCGTCAGCGTGGTGGACTATGACCCCCTTCGTATTGAAGGTAGGTCCACGCCCAACAGTGTGACGTTAAAAAGGGGTGACGTTAAAAAAGTTGAATATTCACTGAATACACACACACACACACACACACACACACACACACACACACACACACACACACACACACACACACACACACACACACACACACACACACACACACACACACACACACACACACAAAATAAAAAAAACAATACCCTTCTATAAAGTTTCGCAAGTGAGCTAGCTTCATATCTAAAATTGACAAATTTTTGCTTTCATAAATAATTGAAAGACGATTTTACATAAGCACAATATTTATTTATCCAGTATCATGTAAAAGCTATTCATAAAATATTTTATATAACATAAGCAAATTAAAAATTACAATCGCATGAAAGTAATGGTACAATTATCTCACTTTTATATTCAGTTGGGTTATAGGCTGAGTAGCTTCTCTACCGGCATCTCAAAGAATTAACTTCTACCGTCGTCACTATTTATTAATTTGACTTGACCGTTATTCGAAGCTTACGTATTGAGATAGGCATTACCGTTTCCGCCGTTTATATATCTATCCTTGTCTATCCGTCTACTGTCTCGCTCTCTATCGCACCACCTGGCAGGAGAGTGGGGATCGGTGTGAACGATTCCCACTCTTAAAATTATTTCTTCATTGGCGTCTTGTTTTCCGCCGAGTGCAGTCGTGCTGGCTTGGGCTCGCACCGACTATACAAGTAACTCGTAGCATTATAGGAAGACGTTTCTATGTAAGTTTTTGAGGTAATCGCCAACAAAAATTTTAAAAGGTAACGATTCACACCATGTAAGTACATTTACCTTATTTATTATCATCATTTTTCTAGACATTTGTTTAGCACAAAATAAAACGAGTAACAAATACTTAATAGTATTTGAGAATTAGAAATTTAATGCATGTTATGTTAAATAACTGTTAAAATGTTTAAAAATGTTTTTACATTAACTGCAATTTTTAAATTAATACCATCATGATCTCCCTGCCTATTTCATGCCATGATAATTCAAATTAATATAAATTAACACCATGGTAAAGTATATTGGCACTACGTAATTCAATTTAGCTTATAAATCTTGTTTTACTATTGACTACATAGATTATACAATGGTATAATTCCTACATTTTAATCAGTTACCTTGCAGTGCTTTGCTTACTAACTGTTTACTTTTAGAATATAGGCTACATATTCTTGTGGTTCATGGATAATTGACATTGACATAGAGTAATGGAATGTCTATTGGATTGAGAAATCATTTCAGCCCTGTAAACAAATAAAGTTATTACAGTTGTAGTATATATGTAAGTACGTGATATGAAGCGTGAAAATGCTTTCGGAAAAAGGAAGAGCCTACTGGTGTAGTTCACAATTTCATATATTTTATTTTCATATTCATTTTCAGCAGACAATACGATAGTTTATAAGCTTTATTTCAGTTCAGAGCAAAAATGCAGTTAAGATGTCAACACGAGTATCAACATGAGACAACATAAGGACATTAATTATTTTTCATAACACTGCTATGGTACATGTGTATATTGTTATTAGACTAAATACAAATCTTAATTGCCTTGAAGAGGTCCTATGAGCTGTATTTTATAAATAAAACGTCTCCCCGCAGGAGTACGTAAAATGGTTAACCCTCGCAGGGTTATTAGTTATGTGGGTACCTAAGGAGTATCAAAGGTGACCGTTATACATTTACGCATACTACCCGGTCTTAAAGGGGCGTCGCAGGATTGCCGGACGTTAATGATCCCTCCACCACGACAAGATAAGCATATAAGCACATTGGAGGAGGATCTATGGAGACCCTAACGCTGAGATTTTCATCTAGCTGTGATACTAATATCATAATCACAAATGTTGAATGTAAGCCCCGTTCAGTGAGCTTAATATGAATATAAATCCTCGCGGGATTGACAATATACTTGTTCCACAAAATAATCTCTACAGATTTTTTGATTCTTGTCAGAGTGTGAGTCACATATTAATTTTCTCCAAGAGAAAATGGCAGTGAGTTTAATATGAATATAAATCCTCGCGGGATTGACGATATACTTGTTCCATAAAACAATCTCTACAGATTTTTGATTTGTGTCCAAATGTGAGTCACATATTAATTTTCTTCAAGAGAAAATGGCAGTGAGCTTAATATGAATATAAATCCTCGCGGGATTGACAATATACTTGTTTCACAAATCAATCTCTACAGATTGTTGATTCTTGTCCAAATGACAATGAAACAGTGAAACATCAGGAGAAAATAGCAGTGAACTTAATGTGCAGTTGTGATCTCAATTGGAGTTTGATATGTATAGCATAAAATTTAAGCTATGCGTTGAATGGTCACTTACATGATATAGTTTGGTTAAATTCACTGAATTAGGACAATCGTTATATTACTGAGCGTATAATTGTATGGGAAGGCATCGTCTCAATAAGATTGGTTCACTTTTATGAAGATACAAGTCGGATTTAAAAGATATAAATTTAGGTATGTATGTAATATACTTAATGCATAATATAATTAATAATAATGTATGTAAAACTCCAAACCTGTGAATGAATTGGCTTTTAAGCATTATAAGAAATATTATACATATTATTATTATTTTTTTTGAACATATGGATATCGTATATCCATTTATCAAATTTCTAACCCGCACTGGGCAAGGGTAGTGGCCAATGGCCTGATTCCCCTCTTATGAAGGGAGGCCTGTGCACAGAAGCGAGTCATTAAGACTTGCTGATCACGTTAAAAAGTATAATATTCTATTCCAGTGGTCGAATAGCCGAATCCAATTGGTTTTGGCTAAGGTAAATTATTAGAAGAAACAACAGTGTACCTTTACGAAGTGCATACGTTACGGGCCTTTCTGAATTACGTTGATTAAATGTAACGTAATGTATTTCATATTAAACTGATATTTCCACTCAGGGCATCAGGGGCAATTGCTATTTTAGGCGTTCCTGCTGTGCTTGTAACGACAGGTCGTCTTTGTTGCAAATTAAGCCTTAAAAAGCCTAAGAAATCATACAAACATTACATGTTGGTAAGCTACGGCGTTGAGAATTTTCAATAATAATAAGGGTATTGAAAGTTCCAAGAACGATAAAACTCAACGTTAAGCATGGAATATAACTTAAAATATAACATTGGCAAATACTACTACTAATATATTAAGAAAATGACATTTTCTCAAGGAAGGCTTGAAATGTAGCACAGTATAGTGAAAATTTATCCTTAATTTTGGATCACATTTATAAACTACAACGGAAATGACGTATTATGATCATCGCTAAAATTGTAAGTTTTTGACATATTATTATGAAACCCCAGTCTGACAGCTAGGGTAGTTCTGAAAAATATGAATTATAGGCACAAATTGAGGAGGTACGTAATACATTATAAAAATTATCCTTAATTTTGCGTGACATTGGCAAATCTTTGCTTAAGTGACACGTTTTTGTAGCCACTAACAAGATAATTTAATGTCCATTGCTTGGTTATGGATTTTACCAAATGACCGACTTCTACTATATAAAAGTTATGGCGTATATTTGATTAGTCTTGGTTTTATAAGTGACATTGTTTTAAAATTTATATAATAGTACTCGTGCCTAAGAAGTGTTCTCAATTTACTGTCATATGTGGAAATATCCTGTGATGTGCATCTATGTACATCATACGTAGCTTCTTCTACGTAAATCATAAATTTATCGTCGAGGTTAAACGTACACATATGCGTATACGTATGTCATTGTTAAAAAATCATAAATTTTACACCAATGTGTATGCGAACATTTTTAACAGTATATTTCCGTTATGGTATTTTTGGCACACTTATGAAAAGGATTTACGTTAGGCGTTTTAATTATTCTAAACTAGCATTGCCCGCGGCTCCGCCCGCGTTCAGATGACCAAAAACTAAATTCTTAGGTGTTACATATTAGTATACTCTTACATTGCAGTTTTTGTATTTTTCCTCAGAAATAAGATATTTTCCCGCGGTAAAAAGTATCCTAGGATCGCGCGCTACATCGCCCGGTTTATATAGCTTGAGCAGGCGGTCGAGCGATGCGGGGCAGAGGGGATGGACTCGCCGTAGGCATCTCAATGCTCGCCAAGCATTAAAAATGTTTCGCTACTAATTACTTCTAACAACGATATCTCAAAAACTATTCATCTGATTGATTTAGTGTAAAGAGCAATTTTAATCTGCATTAAATGACTAAGCTAACTAAAATATTCATTTGGATAAGGATTAATACCGAACTAAAGAAAATAACTTTGAAAATAACGTAATGTTTTTAATTAAAAATGTTAACATAAAAGTGGTTATTGTAAGTCAACCGTAAGAGATAGAGATATGCTATCGCGGACTTTTTTGTAGCATTTTTATAGATTTTGAATTCTCTAGTACATTACTTAACTGTATCTTTGCTAGTTTACGCGGCGTTCGCGTGGAAAGTTCCCATTTGGCGAGATTTTTTGCGACCTCTTCAACATTTGTCGCCGTATTTCAGCTAATTTACATAAAAGCATAATAAATTATATACCTAAACCTTCCTCAAGAATTACTCTTTCTATTGTTGAAAACCGTATAAAAATCCGTTCAGTAGTTTTCGAGTTTATCGCGTACAGACAGACAGGAGGACAGACAGGAGGACAGACAGGAGGACAGAAAGACGCGGCCGGGGGACTTATTTTTATAATAAGTATAGATAGATTAAATATTTATCTTTTCGGATTGTCAAATATTCGTGTAAATCTAAGAAATTATTATTCTAAAATTAAATAATATTATTAGAATTTTTAATTTGAATGCGAGTCACTTTGACGAAACAATGACTCGTTTAGCTGAGCTTTCTTTAAAGGAAACTAGATCTCAGCCTAGTATTATTACTAGCCTATTATTATTGTTATTTACCTACAACATATGTTAGTATCGTGCGAAGTCGACCTTTCTCTACCATAGTTAACATCTCATCTCTTGAGGTATCTGTCTATCTATAAATATAGGCACTTCCAAAGCCATTATCAAGTCTTAAGCGTTGTTACATTTGATTTATTTATTTTTTATATACGTAAAGAGTTGGTTTCCCAAACCAATGGGCTTCAGAGTTATTAAAGAAATGGTATAAAATGGGGCGCACTATTTATTAATAATAAAGAGGAATTGAAAGTCAACTAATGTGTGTGTTTTCAGAAGAATTTATTAATTTATTATTAACTAAAATTGGAATTTTAAAACGCATTAATTGTTAATGTTAGTTATTGAAATTATTGTTCGAGTATCGGGTCGCGCATAGTAATGTTAGATATTAGTTTTTCTGAAGGTCTAACGGTCTAGGGTCTCGGCTTCGGGCCTGATCACTGGACTGGGAGAGTGTAAGTAAGAATAAACTTGGTCATGTTAAGTGAACACACTTTTAAACCATAAAATCTCGAGGGCAGATGGTTTCTGAAACATTGGCGACCGAGGCCGTAATCGGCCAGGGAGATGTCTCCCATGTTGTATTAATACCTTGTTGAGTTGTGTTATCTACAATATAGTTTATTTTCTATTTGTAAAAGGACTTTGGAAAAGCACTGCATTAAGTGTTTATTTTGGTCTTAGTATAAATCTCATCTCAGTGTTTCAGTTACATACAGCAGAGTTTATTTCATCACATTGGCGTCCGTCTCCTACGCTTGCACCACCAGGCGATAACAAACAAGTCTCAATACGTAAGCTTCGAATAACGGTCAAGTCAAATTAATAGCAGCGTTTTACCTACCAATAAAACGCATATTAATTTACTTACCTTATTCGAAGCTTAACTTTGAATAACTGCCTGGTGTATCTCGACTCAATGAAGAAATAATTTTAAGAGTGGGAATCGTTCACACCGATCCCCACTCTCCTGCCAGGTGGTGCGATAGAGAGCGAGACAGTAGACGGATAGACAAGGATAGATATATAAACGGCGGAAACGGTAATGCCTATCTCAATACGTAAGCTTCGAATAAGGTAAGTAAATTAATATGCGTTTTATTGGTAGGTAAAACGCTGCTAATCTGCGTGATTTTAATAAAAAAATAGCCACAGACGATAAAAGTTTTCAACAACAAAGTCATAATTAATCCTCATAACAATTGCAACCGCAATATACATTTTATATTTTATTATTAAGTGCTATAGTCTGTTCATTTTTTTTAATCAAAATTGTTTCACAACACTCGAAAATACCGCGTACCTACATACCATAAAGAAATACAAGCGAATTTGGTGTTTCCCGTTTTTTGTCGGTCGATAACTAATTAATTAGAACTATTATTTAAACTGTAAATTGCTGTCGTTAGTTCTAAAAACTACCGCTAGGGAACTCACCACCTTTATTTTACATTACCCCGCTAAATTACCGCTCAAACTCATTTCCTCACAATATGTGACACTGACAGAATTTATTTTGTCTGTTAAACACAGTTCTAAGCCATTTAGAAAAAAAACTACTTCGATTATTTAGAAACAATCCACTAATTCATTTTCTCATTATTTCAATAAATATCAATAGAGATTTTAACAATATCTTATATTAATTATTATTAAGCACTTTCATATAAATTTTAAGGCACATTCATTTTTTAACTATAACAAATGTATATTATACATTAGAATTCTTAAACACAATTTATTAACTTCATTTGTATGTGATCTCAGTTCAATGTATTGCTTAGAATAACATTGTAATTCAGCATTGATATAAAATTTCAATTTGTAAATAAATTTTCATTGATATACAAAAACTTAAGATACCTACACATAAAGCGTCTTAAAAAATATCCTCAAAAAAGTTCACAATTCGAAATTGAATTACACTTTTTTCAAATCTCTTTTGTTCATTGCTTTTCGTAAGGTAAAATTAAAAACGCACGTTGTTTCGTTTAAAAAAGTATTTTATATGGTGTGCGTAAGTTCGAATTTGTGTTTAGACAATTAGAATTTTCTAGTTTTAAATGTTATTCTTTGGTTTGACTCAACGTCCATTTCGAAGCCACTTTTTGAAGAGATATTTCTTAGAAAATGTGTATCTATGTTTTTATATATCAATGTTAATTTATCATAAATTCGTAATTCAAATACAAAACTGCTACAGTACAAGTTACAATGTTGTATGAGACAACGACCGTACGCGTACAACTAATTATATGGTCGCTGATCTGAGTACATGACTACCAATATCGTATCGATTATCAGTTTTGTAGTGTTTTTCATTCGAATAAAAATAAAAAAATCCGTAACAATTGTCGATAATGGAATATTTTAATTATTGCCACTTGCCAGCCAGTAATGGTAGCACGTTTGCTTGAGAAAACAAGTGTAATGGGTTCAAATCTCGGGTCTCGCACCCCTGATATTTCATGTGTAAATTATTTCCACCATGATTACTACTTGTCTTTCGGTAAAGGAAAACATCGTGAGGGAATCCTGCATGTCTGAGGGAACCTAGCAAGTCTTCAAAGGATATGTGAAGTCCGCCAACCCGCATTTGGCGAACGTGATGAACTATGGCCTGATTCCCCGTCGTATTGAAGCTTGTCCCCAGAAGTGGGGCAATTAAGTGATACAAATATCGTCTCTACTCTAGACTCAATTAACTTATTTTCGAAAATTTTACATTATGTTTTATAATATTATATTATTTTAATCAACCATATCCAAAGTGCTCGACATAACAAATTACGATTGTTCGTTTTAAGTTCAAATACAAATACAACAATTTTTATAAAAGCTATACTTATGTAAAATTTCTTTGTAATTGTTATAATTTCAAATGATTCAATTATAATTATTTTATATTAACATTTATATAATATACATCCCTCAAATCAAAATACTCAAGCCAAAAATTCCGCCATAAAATGACATTTCAAGTGACAGATGCCACGATCAAAGACAAATATTTTTTTGCCAACAACTTTTAGGCAAAAGCTCAACTAGAACTGTCCGAACTGTCACTTGATTCGTGTTTTTTCTTCTTTTTCTCGCGTCTCTCGTGCTTGTCCCGTTTAGGGCTCCTCTTAGGGCTCTCACGACGCACCCGATGATGTCAAATGCCCGAATCATCAGTTGTATGATGAATGTTGTTTAAAGACTCTTCAGACGACTCCGATTTTTGTTTTCTTTTTGGTCTGGAATTTAAAATAAAAAAAAGTAAGTATCTACTTTATTCTAATATTTATATATTATATATTTTTTCTTTGAACATTTTTAAGCCAATTGTCTCAATCGGCATGTTAATCATAATTACTTATAAGTTATAAGATTATCGTATATATTTTTTTTCTAAGTATATTTTGTAAAACTCTTCATGTTTTTCTGAAAACATCAGTTTTGGTAAGGTCTATATTCGTTTAAGTTTTAATTAATAGCCGTTATATTGGATTTCTATATTTTTTATTTATTTCATATCTAAATTGAGAGAATACCATAGTGTATTAAATTTAATTTTCCACTAAAATAAGTCTTATCGTACGATTTATATCTATTTATTGCCATAATTTACGACTTCATATTAAAAATTTACCCCTTTTTCTTCTCATTATCAACAGTCAATTGGTCTTTAAAGAATTTCGAAATTTCCAATTCCTTTATTTCATCAGAATTAGTTAAGATGATCGCTCTGAAACATAAATAGTTTGTTTATATAACTTTTAATACCTGAGTAGCCTTTTGAAGTCGGTTAAAATTAATTCTGAAGAGGGCTGGAGAGTGACATAGGCTACTTTTTACCGCGGGAGATTATCTCATTCCCACGGGAAAACACGTTATAATACAACCAAAAATTATTTATGATCAGAATTACTTGAAATTTGATAGTAATGCACTTCAATACAATTAAATAAATATGTGTTTCATCATTTTTCGAAATTCATCCCATAAGGGGGTAAAATAGGGGATGAAAGTTTGTATGAAACCTACCTATACTTACCCCTACTACCTACTTTACTACTTACCACTACTACCTACTATTAAAATAATAAATAAAATAATACGTATATCAGATTTTCAGCGCGAGCGAAGCCGCGGGTTCTGCTAGTAAACATTTATATATAATGACTTGCCTATGTTTCTAATACTTTATCGTTCCATCGTGACCGTCATGGTGCAAACACCTTACACCCACCTGCGACGATTACTTGGAAAATCTAATAAACTACCCCTTCTCTTAACGATGTTTACTCGAGCTTTATACATTTCAGCTTAGAAGCTATCTAATGAATTAAATTTACACTAATGAAGAAGGTTTTTTTTCGGAATGAATGTTTTTTTTACTGTAGGTACATAAAGGACTTTTAATAGTTTTTGATTATGGCGTTTAAATTAAAAGCTATTTAGTCCTCGTTCTAGATTTACTTGTTATGATGAAAATTAATACAGTAATAATAAAATCGATATGAAATTTTCAAGAATTGTTAAGTTAAAGCGAAGAGTTTATTTTCACGGTGTTTCAATCACACTACTTACTAATATAAATGAGAAAGTTTGTATCTATATTTCAGGCTAAAATGGCTGAACAGATTTAGATCAAATTCACATAGAAGATAGAAGTTTTATATAGGCTTGTATTGAACACCGTGGGACACTATTTCTCTGATAGCAGAGTGGACCGTAAGTTTATCCTCATGGTTGTTGTGGTCTGCTTCGGCAGGCCTGCCGTCCGGGCGTCGTGGTTGAGTGTGTAAGCAATCCTGTGATGTCCCATTAAGACGGGGGAGGTTCTGTTGGGTTTTAGTGTTACTGGCTTTACCAGTGAGTTCCATATAACGACTGTATGTATGCAGGTGGTATGCTCAAATGCAGTTCTCAAAGTTAAAAAAGGCATCATAAGACACACCCGAGGGAAGCGAAGAAAATTCACTAATAATAAAATACGTCGACTTCATACACCTTAAAAGTAATTATTTTTCCGTAATATTTAACAGTAGATTTTTTTCATGATATTTAATTTAAAAAACGTACACAAAAAATATAAAAAATGATCCATCTTTTAGCAATCGTTTAATAATCTCAATACAGATTAAGTCCAAAATAAAAAAAAAGTGTGTGTGTCCTTATGTACGTACGTAAGACTTTATACTTGTATGGCGTAACTGAACAAAAATAGCTAAAGATTTCATCCCGTATGTCACATCTCTCTGTTTGTAAAAAGAATGCAGCTAACGTCATCATGTCGCTTTTTGGTTGTTGGTGTGCGCGCGCATCGTAAAAATTTTATCCAATCGCCCCAAAAGAAGTATAATTTCAAAAAACATTGATTAACTAAACGAAGCACGGGCGCGTCGCTAGTTAAACAATATAATTTAAACAAAAGAAAGCAAAAGAAAATGAATGAATTTATCTACGGTTAGATATAAGCTATCAGTGGGGTGTGTCGAGTCACCTTGACACGGGTTCCAAATCACTGCTTTTAGTGTTGTATAGATAATGAAAATATATCGATATCGATGAATTGATTATTATCATCTTCTATCGAATTTCGTTTTGTTATATGTGTTAATTACATGTAAATGGTCACAACGGTTTTTTTTTATGATTTACCATATTTGTATTTATATTTTTTCTAATTCTTTATGATGTTTTTATAAATTACTAGCGGCTCACCCTCGCTTCGCTCGGGTTCGTCGCTAGGTACGTTTTAAATAGATATAAACAGTTATTAGCCAGTGTTATTAGCCATATAAATAATTTTTTTTCGTTAATTTTTCTGACGTTTTAATACTTAGGTATTAACCTATTCCGGAATGAGAGAAATCCAAAAATTCAAATATCATAAAAATTGGTCCAGCCGTTCTTGAATTATAAATAGTGTAACTAACACGACTTTCTTTTATATATATAATAGATTATCTTTTAACTTATATATAATCTAGAGAGCTACTGATCGAACTTATGTAAATACGCATTTTACTATATTATATGCATTTCTCCAAAACCATTTAGTGCATTAAAATGCACTAAACTTTATATTATACTCATAGGAGATGAGCATTACTGGTGTTAGAGTGTTCAGTGAGGAGAAAAAGCGAGGCTTCGTTGAGTTATTAGCAAAACGTTGTCGTCTGCTATTTTATACATTTTTAAACTAATGTTTAGGTGACCATTTGCATAATAAAATATAATTAATACTTAAGAAAATCATCATAATAGAGATAAAAATTTTATCTTTCCGTATAGTTTATGGGGCAAGTCTAAGCTTTGTTTGTGCAAGCAATTTTGTAAATTCGTCGTTGAATTGTTTGTATGTAACTTAAGACCTTTTTAATATAATTAATTTTATCTACCAATACATTTTATATTAATGACATATAATTTCATACATTAATTATTAGGTAATAAAACGTATTAAATAAATTTACAACTATCGATATACTTAAAATACGTCTCTATAAAGGGCGCGCCAAACGACGTTAGGGCAAATAATTCGGAATGACCCTTTCTATGCACACGTATACATATATAAGATGACCTGCCTGGTGTCCGTCACGTAGAACAACATTGAATATTTTTGGTGAAATTATGTTTTTAAAGCATGTTTCGTAATAAGTAATGAAAACACATAAGGAAATTTATTGGGATTTAAGTATACACTCTTTAAAATGTAAACGTTCGTGTGTGTGTTCGTTCAGGTTCGTCTCTAGTGAAAAACCAAAACAAATCTATCCTACGGGAACCATACATTTTTCCAGGATAAAAAGTAGCCTATGTACTATTCCAGACTATAATCTATCTCTGTGTCAAATTTCATCTAGATCCGTTCAGCCGTTCTGGCGTGATTGAGTAACAAACATCCAAACATTTCGAATTTATAATATTAAGGGGATGTCATATTAATTTAAAAAAAAATAACAAAAAATATTTTGAAGTAAAGCAAATAAATTATACTTATATCTAATATTGGCATATTTGTGTATTTTAGATGCAAATTCTTTGTCGAAACAATAAAAAAAAGATGTAAGTAGTATAAGACAAAGTCGCTATCCACGTCAGTCCGTTTGTACGCTTAGTTCTCTTAAACTACAAAACCAATTTTGATATGGTTTTCACAATCGCTTAGTGAATTTCTTGAGAAAGCTTTAAAATTAGATATCAAAGCCATTAGAAGATTAAATAAGTACTACTTGTAAATATACATTTTTATACCAAACTCGCGAAAAATTATTAAATTTGATTTTCCACTATTTTCGAGCAATAATTTTTATTTAAATTATTCAACGATTATTGATTAAGGTACCTAGGGTATACAGCTACCCTATAATAACAAAATTAATAAAAAAATATCATATCTTAAGTTTGTCCATTTTCTCTAGGTGGCCCGATTTTTTTGCACGCCAGTGTAGTACCGCATTAGAAAATAATCTCAAAACATACGCTGAAATCGAAATTTAATACTGCCGAAAAAACTTACCTAATACGATTGCCATCAAGTCTGTCTTGTCGTTTGTCACTTATTATTGATATAGAAGTTTCACCAATTTCGGGCCTCTTTTTGTGCTTCTTTACCTTGTGTTCCCTGAAATAAAATCAAAAAAGTACATATATCCTTTTAAGAGTTCCGTAGCAAAAGGATATATACGGAATTCTAATAGTTTGGTCATGTCTGTATGTCCGTATGTCACAGTCATTTTATTCGAAGGTTATTAGATCTATATAGCTGAAATTTGGAAGATTTTCATGTGAACCGTTAAACATTACTGTAGTCGAATTACGAAAAATAACAAATATACTTAACTAGCATTGCCCGCGGCTCCGCCCGCGTTCAGATGGCCAGAAACCAAATTGTTAGGTTTTACATATTAGTATACATTGCAGTTTTTGTGTTTTTTTCTCAGAAATGAGATATTTTCCCGCAATAAAAAGTATCCTATGTGTTGACCCGGATAACCAGTTAATACCATACCAAATTTCATCAAAATCCCTCCAGTGATTTTTCCGTGATGCGGTAACAGACAGACAGACAAAAATTCTAAAAACTATAGATTCGGCCTCAGTATTGATAATAAAGTGTATTTCAATAAGATTTTCCAAAAAATATTCAATGTACAGATCCGGCTTAGTTTGAATTTTATTATATGTATAGATTATATACACAAAATAAATGCACACTTAATTATTACTGTACAAGTCATGTCCGCGTGGAATAGTGGCAAGAATGCTAGCCGCATTCTCCCGCTGAATGGCAATGCCAAGGCTTTGGGCGTAAAATGAGTCAGCTCTCCTATCACCAGTAGAGGTGATAAGACGAGGTGTTATGTCTATTAAGTAGTGTATAGCGAAAAATATAAAAATCCATAGCAATGGGTTCGGTGCTGTGGTGGTGTAAATAAGCTATCTTATCAAAGTAGGAACATCCGACAGGTTCCGTTTTGACAAAGTAGAGACTTTACTATAAATTAATCTTTTTATTGCCATTTTAATTCGTTTTTATGCTTTTATTGTATTGCCATATTTGATATTAGTTAACTGTTATTTATCCTAATTTTTATTTTTCTGTTAATAATAATTAAAAATATGCAAATACCAATAAATTGTAACTGAATCCGTATTATTTAATATTTTTTAGTATTATAAATGTGAAAGTTTGTATGTATGGATGTTTGTTACTCCTTCACGCCAGAACGGCTGAACGCATCTGGGTGAAATTTAGCACAGAGATAGATTATAGTCTGGAATAACACATAGGCTATTTTTTATCCCGGAAAAATATACGGTTTCCGTGGGATAGGTTTGTTGTACTTGTTTTCCTAGAGGTGAACCCGAGCGAAGCGAACGTAAGCCGCTAGTATTATTATACTTTTTAAATACACTTAAAAGATACAACATAATATAAAATTATATTTTTTTTCAAATTATTTTAATACTAAGTTATATTGTATTTTTTTTATATTTTGTATTAAAATCGGCATTATTTATTGTACCTTAGTCAAAAACATCAAATAGTTTCTTACCTATGTTTTTTCTCTCGCTCTTTCTTATCAGCAGATCTGTGTTTGCGTCTCTTTCTATATACCGAGCCACTGTTCACTTCATCCGCCTTTTCTAAATGTAATACGTATAGACGATATATTTGCAGTAAAATTACCTAAAAAAATATAAAGAAGTATAATAATAATCAAACATATCAATTATTAAAAATAAAAGAATAGTTAAAATTTCCTTGCAAACGGTGAAAATATTACACACTATAACTTTTAAGGTAAATACGTCTGTATGGAAATATAAATATAAAAATACGCGATCATGTAATCCCATGGGATAGCCCTCGTTTTTACAAAACTGATGGTACAACTAAGTTAGTTTATTAAATAAAACCAGCGAATACCACATAAACACTCCCATGGATGGAAGTACCCAGAGAACTACAGAAGAAATGTATGTCATGTGTTAAGTCAATCAAAACGCTAATACGTACCAGCGGGATTCGAAAAATTCACTTTTTACAATAGATATTGCTTATAGAAAATATTTGAGTATAACGTGAAAATATTTGGTAAACTATGAACCTCTTTTTTTAACGTTGGGAAATGCCTTTATTCATACTACCTGTAAACATACAGGTGATTATGTGGGACTCACCGGCAAAGCCAGTACTACCCACTACAACCACAAACAGAACCTCCCCCGTCTTAATGGGGCGTCGCAGGATCACTTACGCACTCGACTACGACGCCCCGACGGCAAGTCTGCCGAAGCAGACCGTAAGAACCATGGGGTTGCTCCTACGGTCCACTCTGCCGTCAGAAAAGTACCAGGAGCAACCCACATGGCACACCGCCCACCGAAGGTGGTCGACTACCGGTGCCTTTCTTGGCTTCAATTCAAAAGCTTTAAAACTCTATATTAAGTTAATGAAAAATTTATTTTTTTCAAATCTACCTACAGTCAAAATACAAAGTACCCACTAAACCGTACAAACTTACAGATTTTAAAACTTACCAGAGTATTTTTGCATGTAAAGAAAATATTCATATAATTAATTATTTTATAATGCGCTATTATCAGAAGTCGGAAAGCTAGAAACGGCGCGTCTTGAAGAGCAATATTCATCATTATAGCGCATACTTCGATAGAACAACAACACGCAGTACTCGTGTTTCTGTGGGGAATATCATATTAAATTTGCCAAAATATGTTTGTTTGTTACACAATAACCTGAAAATAGATAATCAAAAAAAAAACGCGCGCGTGTGTGTGTACTTATGTACGCACGTAAGAAGTTATACTTCTTTGGCGTAACAGAACAAAAATAGCTAAAGTTTTCACCCCGTATGTCACAACTCTCTGTTTAACTTCATCATGTTGCTTTTCGGCTGTCGGTGTGCGCGCACATCGTAAAAATTTTACTTTCATAATTTTTTTAAACGTGCCAAAAGAAGTATAACTTCAAAAATCCTTGCAGATTGTGTAAATATTAAATTATATACAATAATAATGTTTTTGAATTCCAACTACATACATATATTATATACATAAGAGTCGATTTGAACTCTTTTCTTTTGAACTCAGTTAAAAATAACGAAATTTTTGCAAGGAAATCTGCAAGGAAAAACAATGTAACTCGCTTTTTGACTATTTATTATGAAAAAACTAAATATTGAAACTAAATAAGTACCACACACTTATCCAGTTTCAAGATTTAGATTTTTTTCTTTTAAATATACTGAGTCAGAATAGTACAATATTTTTCATATATTTTACAGCAAGGAAAAAAACATCAAGTTATAATAAAGTGTTGTCGTTCAAATTATCTTTCTAAAATTGATTCTGCGATAAACAATGATGATAAAAGGGAGATTTTATAGATGTTGTATAGATGTCGCTTTGCTTGGGTTCGTCCCTAGCCCATATGTACGTTTTAACAGTTAGTGATTTCCATTCAAAATGAGCAGTTCTGATCTTTCCGATTTTCCAGCTATTCTTAAAAGTTTTCCCCATTTTTTGTACTTAAACCTACCCCTGACATGCGTTCAACAAAACGAAAAAATAATTATTAAAATCGGTCCAGCCGTGTTTGAGTTTTAGCGAGACTAACGAACAGCATTTGACTTTTATATATATCCATACTAATATATACTCGTAAATACGTAAGTCTACTTAAGTATACGCCTGCTTTCTTTGTGATCTTTTTTTTCAGTTTATTTAAAATAAGTTCCTAGTTGTTATGCATTGTTGGAGAGCTAAGAAAACGGTTATATTTTTTAAATAATCTGCAAGCCAAGTTTCATAACATTTTTTTTTTTATTTTTAATGTATTTTAGTGGAAAAAAATAAAAAAAACATTGAAATAATCTTGTTTTTCGTCTCGCATTTTTAAATTTGGACCGACAATTATTGTTTTAATATTGATAAATAACCAGTGTTTAACCGTTTTTATAAATCAGAACAAAAAATGAGATTTAAATTAATACTTTTTTTAATAAAATCAGCAACATCAAAAATGTTGTATTTTTGACTTATTTTGAAACATGATAACTCAAAAATGTTTCACTTTTGCATAATGTATATTGGGAGTTAAAATTATCGCAAATGGTCACCCCTATCACCTCATAGCGGGAATATGTCGAATTACCAATGACCCTGTATATGCATACTCGTACATATTTAATTATTTTATTTATTAATCCTTTATTACACCAAAACAAAAATACAATTTAAAAGAAATATAAATTTACAAATATATATTTTAGTGTAAAAATGGCCTTATCACTAAAGTGATCTCTTCCAGGCAACCTATATTATAAAGAAGCTCGTAGGGTAGCATGGATTAAGGTTGGTGTAGAAAAAATAATAATAAAAATAGCCTATAACAAACTTACTTTAACGGTACTTACTATATCTTACACACAAGTTTACATAAATAACAATAAAGGCATACATAGATATATATTATAATATATATGTGTAAACAATATATATATATTATTTACACATATATATTACATTCTACAATAAACTTACATAAACAGGCTTACATAAATATACATAGACTTACAACGATAAGTAGTAGTTTTTAAGACGACGTTTAAACTTGCCGATTCCGACTGGTGAATGTCATTTGATAAAGCATTCCATAATATTACATTTTTCGTGTGCGTTAGATTGTCAAGATTCTTTATTAAATGAATTGGTTGTGTCTTATATTAAATTAAAAACTCCGCTCATTACGATAGAATATCTTTTTTATGTTATCTTCAAAATTAGTTTACCATTTAAGTTAAAAAGTGATTATCCAAAGTGGCTCAGACACAATACTAGCTTGTTGTAGTGTACAAAAGAACACGTAGTGTAGTCAAACTTGAACGAAGTATAGACGGTTACGCAGTAGCTAATTAAAATCTCCCCTTTTAAAAGTAAATTTGAATGACAACATACCATACAATTAATGATAATAATTTAGCTCTTTTAACGTCCCACTGTTGAGTACTGGGAATTTGTTGATCAATGCAAGGGAGATCACACCATAGCCCACCACGTTGGTCAAGTGTGGGTAGGTGGGCTTTACATGTCTGCAGACAACTTGCTAGGTTCTCTCAGACATGCAGGTTTCCTCACGATGTTCGCCTTCACCGTAAGACAAGTGGTAATCATGATGATAATTTGCACATAAAAATGAATTCGTTTCACTTGGGGTTTTCCAAGTTAACTCTCTACCACTGAACTACCACTGCCTTACTATATAATTATTTTACAGAGTCAAAATTAAAAAGCATCCAAATATCTTACATTTTATTAAACATAAACACTCAAGGCTGTGAAAAGCATGGAGTGCGAGTGGTGTAAATATGGACATATGTATGGCGAAAGAAGATAATCGAAGTCTTTTACTTCAGAAAAAAATGAATGTTGTAAACCTAAAAACAATTAGCCAAAGATTATTTGTGATTTTTGTTATTTTTTTTATTATTTTTTTTTGTGTCCAGCAAAGGTGTCGGATTTGTTCAATTGTTTACAAAGACTTTTATTACAACTATTGAAATTTTTACTGAACCGAAAAAATCTGAAATTACCTTTCCGGGCTATAAATTGTTTTTTTAATATAATTAAAAAAAACTATAATTATATAATAACTTTCATATACAAGTGTTTTCTTTAAATAATAATAATTTCTTTGTACAGGAATAAAGAATCTTTAAAATATATAATTTGTGTACACCCCTTTACCACAGACCATTTGATGTTAGATGTTTTTTTTTGTATGTGAATTGTAATGTTTGTGTGAAGAGGGTTGGAGAAGAGCACGTGTAATGGAAAATTGTAAAAAATATATATAATCTCATACATATTTATATAGATTTCATTTATTATTTAACATTCTTTTTATCCTTATATATATACAAATGAATTTTATTAATTGTTAAACTTTGTTATTCTTACCAAAAGAAAAAAAAGTTGTTTTTTTTTTAAATTTTGTTATAGATAACTAAATAAAATAACAGAATTTCCAATACATGTCTCGAATCCACCCAAGCAGCAAGTGCAAGCGTGCATCACATACGTACATGTCAGACCTATGAGCTGTTCCACGAGATTTCCTAGACTTGGTGGCAGTGAGGACCACCGTGAACTGCATGAGGGACCACGACCAGATGGCCAAGGTCAGGAGCACGAGCACCTTCTCAGTAGCAACCTTCTCATCTTTGAAGGAGTCGAAGAACTCTATTATATCCGCTGCTGTGCCTAAAGATAATTGGGAGATAAAATCGGAGACCACAAGCTTTAGTTGTGCATTTATCAGGATTGGTCATGAAAAATGTATATGACTGTATGTTCTACATATATTACAATGTAAACCTACAACATTCTCTACATTATTTTTCTAATTTAGGCACCTTTGATGGGAAGATAAAAATAACATAATTCATATTTCTAGTCTTTACTACTTTCTTCGCTTTCCACTAACTAATATTTTATATTACAAATAAAATGTGCATAAATATTTGTCTATATCTATACTAATATTATAAAGAGGCAGAGTTTGTTTGAACGCGCTAATCTCAGGAACTACTAATCCGATTTAAAAAAATCTATTTGCATTAGATAGCCCGTTTATTGAGGAAGGCTATAGACTATATATCATCCTGGAAAAATGTAAGGTTCCCGTGGAATTGATTTGTTTTTGTCTAGGGACGAACCCGAAGACAAGCGTGGGTGAGTCGCTAGTACTCTAGTATGACTTGACCAACGAATTATTCCTAAGTCTACATTATCTACTCTACTTCTTCTCTTTCTCTATTTTATTAATTATTCATCTTTAACAAGATAGCCCAGCTTAACTACAGTTTAACAGACAGGAAACCACAGTCAAATATTCAAAGTAACTTACCAATATAAACCAAAAGCAATTGACTCAATTGATCCCTGGTCAGATCTCCCTTTGGCAAGAGCCATCTCCCTACGATCAGGGTCAGCATCAGGAACTGTTCTATCAGAGTCACAAACGTTTCTGTTCGTAATCTGGTGGCACCAGGGATTGGGATCTCCGTCTGGTAAAAAAAATTGCTACATCTTGCGAGGACAATAAAGGAGATCTTTTTAAATGTAGTGTTATAATATTAAGCCCGCAGGGCAGCTTGTGGCGAGCTGTTGGTGAGTGGCGACTCCACGGACCTGCGATGTCCCTAAGGAAACAACATCTGTCCCCCGCCTCTGGCTTGCCTTCATTGGCCGTCCACAGTGGAGGGCAAGGGCCAAGCCCAAGCTTGGGATGAACCCGAGGGTGAGTCGCTATTAATAGTCGTTAATAAAATATGTAATATATTGTATTAATTCCATAAACAGTCCCACGGGAAATTTAAACAACTCCAATAAATAATAACTTATTTTTTAAGTTTATGAGGATACTCATGTATGTATGTTTGTTACTCTTCGACGCAATAACTATGGAACAAAATATGATCAAAATTTACAGTAATATAGCTAATACATCAGAATAACACGTAACTAGAATATGAACTACTTGGATGAAGCTACTTGAAAACGCTTGCTACGAGTATTTATAAATAATAATAATAAGAATAATAATAAATCTTTAATTCAGGCAAAAACCCATAATTACACAGAAAAAAGAAGTTAAAACGAAAACACATACAATTTATCTATTCTAAGAGTTAGTAATACAAAATACTTAACCTATGTTAGCTTAAGAAGAGAAAAGGAAAAAAAAACAAAACAACTAGATTGCCCTACGTGATAAGGCCACACCACAAGCATGAGACCCGTTTAGGTCCGCCTCGTGGCTATGTGAACCCTATTCCATTGCCTCCAGAGAGGGCTGTCCATCTTGACCGCCAATGTGCCAAGGAGGGTGTTGGAGCTGCTCACTAACCTGCTTATTATGGACGCGGTACACTTGCGTATGATCGCGTAAAATATTATTATAAAGTTCATTTTGCTGTAGTTATGCTCACTTCAATGACAGCGTATGTGTTGTTAGCCTTCTTCTGCAGTCGTAGGTCCACTTTGTGCAGCTCGATCAACCAGATTGCCGGAACAACTAGCCCTAGGTAGATGAAGACAGATGGACAAAACCTGGGGGCAAATATAAATATATTGATATTTTTAAATTCAATCCTTAAAGGAATTAAAAGGGAATTCAAGAGTTTCAGTTTTTGGCAATCAAATTAAAAATAAAGAAAGCACACTTTTCATCAACAGCTGTAATGTATTGGATTCGTCTGAACTCTAAACGAACCAAATGAGCCTAAAGTCGGAAGTTTTACTTGTTTATTGAAGAGGTTATTATCCACATCTTGGTTACTTTATCATAAGATGAGCTTGATTATACCTACGATATGTTTGGTTCAGTTTGTAGTGACCCTACTTACTGTGCTAGCGGTCGCGGGTTCGGTTCCCACTGAGGGCATTCATTTGTTTGGTGAGCACGAACACTTATACTCCAGTCATGGGTATTTATATTTAAAATATGTATGTATTTAAAGTTATATATGTGTAGTGTATCAACTATCTGGTATTCATAACACAGGCCTCGTAGCTCACCATGGAACTAGATGGCGCTGTGTATTAATGTCCCAACATATTTATCTGAATTTTCAAAAGCGAATTTTCATATTTACAAAAAATCGATACGACAATAAGAATAGTTAAAAAAAGAGTATTTAAAATCGATTTCCAAAATTTTTATACAGAGGTAAATTAGTACTGCATGTAAAGACGTAAGAAAACGCTTGTTTTGTGAACATTTATTTGTCAAAGTTCGCTTATTTAACCTCTAAGCGTCAAGGTCTGTCAAGCTCCGCTGGTCTTTTACAAAGAGCGAAATGTCACAGTAACCCCTTCAGTCATTAAAACCCCAAAAAAGTCATGTGAAACCATACTTTTGGTAAACTATGTGAATCAGGATTTTCCGTTATATGATTAAGTTGGTTCGGATTATTAATATTTTTTTAAATTCCTCGTTTTTTTTTAATATTATAATGGCTCTAGCAAAAATGTATTTAGAGATCGTTATTTTCGACAGACTTTTGAAGTGCTTTTGGGTGTTTCTTTGTGTATTGTATTCAGACTTTTTTAACGTCCTTTTTTAACATCACACAAAGGACGCCTCCAGCGGGTCTCGAACCCGCGACCGCTAGCACAGCAAGTAGGGTCACTACAAACTGAACCTAACGTGTCGTCAAATTAAAAGATTACCTGTCTTGAGTCGAGGAAACAATTTCATTAAGAGTTGAATCAATCATTTCTTTTGTTAGTAAGGTTACATTTGGGGATTTCCCTAGATAATAAATTAAAAAAGCTTGCTAGCTTTATGCCCGATTTCACCAATGTCACCTAAGTTTAAGGGATCCCCTAAGCATGGTTAGGGGGCTGTTAGGGGACAGTTTCTGTTTCATCGACAGTTAGGGGTCACCTAAATATTAAAATGCCCCCTAAATTTAGGTGCTTGGAATATGGGCTTAAAGACGATCGTAAAAGGAAATTTAATTTAGGGGCTAGTTTAAGGGACTTTTAAGCTAGGGATCCCATACGTAGGCGTCCCATACGTACTTATGGGTTGTTGGTGAAATCGGGCATTAGTCTGTCTGTAAATTTGAAAATGCTATTTTTGACTTGGACGAGTGCTTTTGTGTGTATCTAGCCAAAATAGATTTTTTTATAATTTCTTCAAAATATGACTTTACCAGTACTATATTACTAACCATATATACTAATTGTTATTTTTAGAAATGAATAAAGTATAAATATTATAAAGAGGGAGTTTGTTTGTTTGAACGAGCTAAAGTCAGGAACTAATAATCCGATTTGAAAAATTCTTTTTGCATTAGATAGCCTATTTATTGAGGAAGGCTATAGGCTACATATCATCCCGGAAAAATTTACGGTCCCCGTGGGATAGGTTTGTTTTCGCCTAGTGTCGAACCCGAAGCGAAGTGAGGGTGAGTCGCTAGTAACGTATATAACTTATCTGTTAATTAATTATTTGACCTACCAGGTATGGTTAAAAATTTTCTAAACTATTTTTCGTTTTTTTGAGACCTCAGATTTTAACATAATTTATTTTACGCAGTTTTATTTTAATAGTCACTTTCTCTGTCCGATGGTCAGGCGTCATTTTACTCAAAAAGCTATTCAAGCTATATGTTGAAATTTGGTAGGTAGGTGTCTTATGTTTGGATAACAAACCGCTAGACAATTATTTAGTCAAATTACAAAGAAAAAGAGTTCATGAACATGTGCGATTATATTTGGACAGGTTTTTAAAATGAAATCCAAATATCGAGTATGTCTTGATACAAGGCAATAGTTGCCGAATGATATACTTCTAAACTCGTACACGTGGTGCCTTAACGGTGGTTTTGTATCTGACTCTTTTTATTATTTATGTATGTATGTATTCAGCCCTTTTTTAATGTTCCACTACTGGGGGTGGGCCTCCCTTCAATACGAGGGGGATCAGGCCATAGTCCACCACGCTGGCCAAGTGCAGGTTGGCGGACTTCACATGTCTTTCGAAGACTTGCTAGGTTCTCTCAGACATGCAGGTTTCCTCACGATATTTTTCTAAACCTTAAGAGGTAATCACATTGGAAATAATTCGCACATGAAATATCAGAAATGTGAATTCCGGGATTTGAACCCGCTTCACTCGATTCTCTAAGCGGTCGCGCTACCACTGGGCTACAACTTCTATTATTTATATGCCTATACAAAAATCATTTCATTAATTAAGCATCCGCTAAAAGCTCAAGCACTATCATCACTTCCGAAAATACATAAGTAAAATAAAGTAAAACCTTCACAAAGTAGTATCACAATTCTTTGAACGTTAATGGGTCTAAAGGGACTTCCGCATCACGTCACCACCACACCCTCATTCAGATAATCATTGCTTCACTAGAATCCATTTTGTAGAAATTAGATGGTAATTTCTAACCATTTTAAATAAGACTGATATTAAATACTAGCGACTCACGCGAATCTATGGTTTTTGGAATTTTCGTCTGTCTGTCTGAGAACGCATCTCCAGAAAACTACTGGGCAGATTTTGATGAAATTTGGTATAATGATAGCTGGTTATCCGGGTCCACATATAGAATATTTTTTACTGCGGGAAAATATCTCATCTCTGAGATATCTATACTAAACGTTAAAAGGTACTTAGGGCCGAACCTGAGCGGAGCGAGGGTGAGTCGCTAGTCTATTTATATAAAAATGAAATATTGTTCATAGGCAACCGATGGCAGCACATTACATCGATTTAGTCAATTTGATTTTTTAAATATTCTCAATAATTCGAATAAGGGATTTAGGGTAAAAAAATGTTATTTTTCTCTGGGAAATTGTAAAAATTGGGCAAAATTACAAATGTTTTTTCTATACAATTGATACTAATACTATATGAAATCAAAGATTTTAAGAAAGAAAAAAAAAGAAAGAACCTAGAATTTGTGCAGGAATATCTGTAGGGTCACCAAGTTCTAAATAGAAAATATAGTTGATTCAATCGCAAAACTCAAGGTCACGCTTTAGCTTTACAGGTGTAAATGTAATAGATGGGAAGGGGGCTACTTTTAAAATTACAATTTTGCCTCGCACTCAAGTTTTACATCGAAATAGAGTTTTAAAAATGGTAAAAGATAATATAATATGTAAAATGTTAAATATTCGAGAAACTTCTCTAACTGTAAGCAGAAGATTTATTAATATGATGAATTCAACTCATTCCATAAAGAAGAGAACTTACAGAGTCAACTGAAACTCAAAATATATTTAAAAAAAACTGTTTTTACACAAAAAGTATATAGAAGGGACGGTGAAGAAAAACATTATAAGAAAAACATGCTGCATGTCTGTGAGAACCTAGCAAGTTTTCTAAATACACGTGAAATCGACTACGCACTTGGCCAGCGTGGAAAGGGCTGATCCCCTCCGCATTGAAGGACTATCAGCTAAAAAAGGGCTGAACGCAATCAGAAAGCCAATCAGTGAACCTAAAAATGCAGAAATTACTTACCATTTCCATTCTTGATTTTCTTTGATAGTCAACGTGAAGAGTCCTTCAAATATTAAAAGTAGTATTGGAGAAGCAAGATACCAATACACAATGCTGTTTTTGAAATACGTCACTTGCCATATGGCAATGATACCGTGACATGCGAACACTAGCCTCGTAATAACAGCTTTAATTGTAGCCAACACTTTGCCTATGTTCGCCATTTTGTTGATTTCTTTTGATTTTCATTGACTTTCAATGACTTCACCACTTTCTTGATTTGATTCTGCTATTATTATTATTTTGGTTAAGAGAAGTTCATAGTGATTTCGTTTATATTTTTGTCATATTATGTACAATAAGGCACTTTATTTAATTTAGTTATGTCTTACACCACAATTATTATTATGTTTTGTTGTATTTTCGAGAGTCAATATATCTATTGATGTAAAAAAAATCCATTTATGAATTGAGAGTTGCGAAAGAAATATTTAAAAAATAAATGAAATAATTAAATTTTATTGCTTACTCATATACTTTCTTAGATTTACGAGAATATTTGACATTTTAAGTAAAAACATCTCCCGTGACCATGATTGCTGTAAACCATTGGAAACGTCGGGAGCCAAAAATCTAAATAAATCCGCAAAAAAAATCCAAATACATACTTAGCTTTATTTAAAAAATTATTGCAGTTTTAAGGCACTGTATCTAAGGCACGATTATTTCGTTTATTTTTCTATATAAAAACAACATTAGTATGTCTGTATGTTTGAAACTAACGACGAGTTAACTCGACTCCAAACTAGCTGTGAAGACGGAAATCTGTTCAGAAGTGCTAAAAGCTTTCTATTCTGAAAGTAAATTGTTAATCTTTATATTTTAATATCCATTGCTGTTTTTGCTTAAATATTTTTTTCTTTCACAGGTTCATGTAAACTAGTGTTCTTCCACTGGTCATTGAAAATTTGAGGAAACATATATGAAGAGAATTTAGTACATCGGGGCCACAGGCTCAGGTGCGGATCCAGAGTTAAATTTTAGGGGGGTTATAGACTGAAATATACATATAATAAAACAGTAACTTAGCAAAATCTGTACATTCAATATTTTTTTAAAACAATTGAGACCAGGCGCGGATCTAGTTTTCTATTTAGGGGAGGGGGGGGTGTGTGAGGGGGGGGGGTTGCCAATGATTTTACAACTTTAGCAGGTATATAAGGAACAAAAAACGTTGAAAAATAGTTTTTTTTAAATTTCTGGCTTGTTGTGACATCTTATCGAAAAATATTCTTTATATAAATTTCATTAAAATCTGTCCAGTGGTTTTCTCGTGTGCAGTAACAGACAGACAGACAGACAAAAACTCTAAAAACTATAGATTCGGACTCTATCGATAATAATGTCTATTTCAATTAGATTTTCCAAAAAATGTTTAATGTACAGATCGACTTAGTTACAATTTTATTGTATGTTACATATAGATTTCTGCAAAAACTTTTTGATATTCATGAAACTAGGGGAATATAATCTTCCTCCCCAACGTGCGTTCACCTTGTCGTGGTGGGGGGGCTCAGTAGTGCCCGGCAATCCAACCGGCAGCGAAGCTAAGAAATGCACAGGGAGGTTGCCCACTTCGGTGGGCGGTGGGAGGTGGCCCTCTTCGGGGGGCGGTGTACCTTGCGGGTTGCTCCTAGTACTTCTCTGATAGCAGAGTGGACCTTGGAGCAATCCCGTGGTTGTTGTGGTCTGCTTCGGCAGACCTGCCGTCGGGGCGTCGTAGTTTAATGCGTAAGCGATCCTGCGACGCCCCATTAAGACGGGGGAAGGTTTTGTTGGGTTGTAGTGGGTAGTACTGGCTGTATTACGCCGGTGAGTCCCACACGTCGTGCGTAAATGCATTTCCCAACGTTAAAAAAAATAAAAGGGGAATATAATCTTCGAAATACATATAATAACCATTTTTTTAAATTGAAATGTTTATCCGTTTATTTTTCTTAGACTTCAAACTTCTCTAAAAAGTACATTTGGCTTTGGAGGGGGGGTCATGATCATCATGACCCCCCCCCTGGATCCGCGCTTGCACAGACTGTGACCTGGAGTTTCAAATAACAATACATAAGTGAGTAAAAAATTCGAAATGCTTGTAAATAATGCTATAAATATAAAAGCCGAGCAAAACCAGCAATCATATTTGACATGGAACCCTTTTTTTAATTTGTATTAGGGTAGTAACTAAAAGTACTTATAGTAACCGACTATACAAGTCGATTTTTTATATTTCCAAGCGACATTTTGTTTTAACTATTATATCTAAATTAATAAAGTTTTGAAGCTATTAACAAGAGAATTGAATTGAATAACTTCAATAGAAGTCGGTTAGAATAACATAAATAGCAATAAATCAGCAATGTATGCTGAACAGAGAAATAAGTATCAGTGTATAAGGTGTTTTGCGCGCGCAAGGTGAGAAATTGGCCAATCAGGTAAACTCTGAAAGGGCTGGGAATTTAGGTATTATAATAAAATTATAGTGTCCGTCCGTTCACAAATTTTTGCGACTTTATTTAAAAAAATGTTTTAAATATATTGGGACAGTAACAAACAGCACCATCTAGTTCTATGGTAAGCTACGAGGTTTGTGTTATGGATACCGGATAGTTGATACACTACACATATATAACTTTAAATATATATACATATTATAAATATAAACACCCATGACTGGAGTACAAACGTTCGTACTCATCACACAAATGAATGCCCCCAGCGGGACTTGAACCCGCGACCGCTAGCACAGCAAGTAGAGTCACTACAAACTGAACCAAACATGTCGTCAAATAGTGTTATAATAAAACACCTATTTGAAACTTAGATGATGATACAATAATTTGATATTATAGAGCTGTTCTGATGCTGGAGCCAGGGAGTGGATCCAAATTCAAAATATTTTATTCAGCATTAAATTATTACAATTGTTTACTGAACGTCATGAGTCTACTACCAGTTCGGAAAGAAGAAACCTCAGATCTGAAAAGAAATGGTGAAAGAATAATGGAACTCTACAATGGCTACTAGTGAAACATTAAAAATATCTTTTAAAGAACGGAAATCGTTAATCGTTAAAAGTAATAAATTTTCCACCGATAATTTTTTCGTAAACCTATTTATTAAAAAAACAGAATTCAATGTTTTTTGAAATCGGTTAAAACAGAACAAGTGAACTTTCTGTATATTTTTGGAAAATTCAAATATAGTACATCTAAAGTCTGGATTTATGACTAGATAATTTTACAAGCTTAATATCAAATACGTACACGTTGTTATTCCTACAGCAATAAAGTTTAAAATAGGATATCAAAAATTTTCTTTTCTTTATAAAGCTAATACACAAACTTATATGGCTCTTATTGTTATAAGATTAAGGTTCAAAATGGAGGGATATTTAGTTTTTAATGTTTTTTCGGGTGTTCCACAGTCGGATGGGTTCCGAAAGTCATTTAGAGTCAATTGTGGAATGGGAATGAGTCACAGTCGGTTAAATATAAGTATGATATATGAGATACTAGTGACTTACCCTAGCTTCATTCAGATGCGTTCCTAGGGTTAGGTGCTTTTTGTACTTATCTGTTGGCACGGCAGTACTCCCACCAAGTCCAGCAATAAAAGGGGTAGCTGTAACATTATTTCCTCGAACCCATTCAGGACATTTTCGACCACGAAAATTTACGTTTTTATAATTAATTCTAACTGAGTCGTATCTATAAATTAAATATTTTTTGAAAAATCTTATCGAAATAGTCATTATTTTAAGCCGCAACTATAGTTTTTAGAATTTTGTCTGTCTTATTTGTGTCTTGTGTGTCTGTCTGACTGTCTGGGACGCATCATGAGAAAACCGCTGGACAGATTTTGATGAATTTGGTATGATAATAGCTAGTTATCCGGGTCAACGTATAGAATACTTTTGACTGCGGCAAAATATTTCATTTCTGAGAAATCTATACTAAACGTTAAAATGTAACTAGGGATGAACCCAACCGAAGCGAGGGTGAGTCGTTAATATCTTTAATAAAATAGAAAGAGATAGGGAGTTTCCCACATTCCATGGGAATTATAGGTTCAATGACATGATTGATGATACGTAAAATGTATTATCGTTTTTGAGCAAGCAAATAAAGTAAAAGGTACGTAAGAAGTAGACCGTACGTGACAATATACAATGTCAATATTGTTATAGTTTACAAAATCAAAAATATATGTATGTATATAAATTATTATATCGTACATCTATAAAGTTCAAATTAAAGAAAATCATTGGCGAGGGTCCGTCCTTCTATCTGTGCGCTTATCTTGAAAACTACTGAACGAATTTAGATGCGGTTTTCGTCTCTTACGATCTATATTTCTGCAGAGAGAATGAGAGTGGTGAATTTAAAATTCTTCTTACACTCTTACAATAAGAGCCGAGTACATATTAAATCTGAATCGGTAGAAAAAGTGTTACTTAGTTACTCTATCAGCAACCGCTGACCAACTGGTATGGAATCTTAGACTGTTAGATGTTTTTATTAATAAGTAAAATTTTTGAATTAATTTGCAGTTCAGTAGCGTAAATATACACAACTAGTGACATACCCTCGCTTCGCTCGGGTGCGTTCCTATGTACGTGCACAAAGCGTTGCTACAGTTTAATAGGAAGATCTTTTTCAGAGGAATAATTCTGTAATACATTGTTTTCATAAAAAAACACTAATAATTATAATTGGATTTAAAAAACTGATTCCTTAAATTTTACACAGTCTATAAATAAATAACGAAATGTTTTGCAAAAGAAATTCTTTAATTATAATTTGTAATACACATATTTTCTGATTCAGATCCAGCGTTTGAAAGGTTTCTAGTAGACGTAACCATTGCATCCGCAACCACAACTGCCAGCGATGCAAACCGACCCAGCAGCAGGGACAGCTCCATCGAAACAAACAGAGCCCAGGATAGGCACCTGTCCACCGACCAGTGTGGAACCAGCAACGGGCAGTTGCCCTAACACTAATACATCACCGCTGCCAGAACCACCGTAAGCTGCTGAGGATAAGCCGTAGTTCGAATCCCAAGCCGACAGACCAGCTCCAGGACCTGCAATACCGTCTAGACCATACGCTCCAATAGAAGAAAGTCCGGAATTTAGACCGCAACCCCTGGAACCCCAGAGACCAGCACCGTAGCCGATAGCAGCTGGACCAGCAGTCGATAAGCACTGACTGAACACATCCTATGAACATAGAGACTGTTAAGAAAATGTTCATAAAGATCTACCAGTATCATGTTTACAAGCTTTTATTAAACTTGTAATGTTTGTATGTATGTTTGTTCGGGTCAAAACTTGCAACTGATTTTTTTTTAAATTATCCTTAACCGATTGAGCTGAAATGTTGCATACACGTTTAGTTTGGATAAGAATGCATGGCTATATAAGTGACGTTATTCTAAATCCGAAATGGCGGACCCCCAAAGATGGCGGAATATGTTTTTTATGCACCCCCATGATATGGATGTCAAGTAAAAGGGTTTGCTGAGAGGCATACGAATAAATGACTAAAAAATTAGCTTTAAATTACATCAAACCTATGTATTTACTGCACAATTTAAGGCTTGTTTTAATTTTTTTTAATATCAATTTATTATCTATTAGCTTACCTGAACCAAGCAAATCTGAACACATAATAAAAAGAATGCAAAACTCTTCATTTTTAAGGCTTTTTGCTAATTTATGTATGTATTAGTAAACAGGAGACTTCTCTGACACAATAGCTTACAAAGCAATGCTGTGGTTTTATACTAGACGTATTATCGAGCCTTCAGTGCTATCAATATTTTACAAGATCCAAACGTTGCCTATCTATTTAAAATAAAAGTTGGTCAAGTGCGAGTCGAATTCGCACACGAAGGATTCCGTACCATCGTACATGTACTTTTTATTAACACTAGAAAGACGGAAAAATAAACTTACCAAAAAAGACGGCGAGGGGTCATTTGACCCCTTGCTTTATAAATAATTTTTATATAGTAAAATGTCCCAAAAACTGTTAAAAAGCGAAAAAGACATTAATATGAGTTTTACTCTATGTATGTAGTATATTGACTTCGATGATCGATTACGAACGGTAAAAGAATGTTGCTTGTATTTTTATTTATTTATTATTCGTTGTGAAAATTTCAACTCTTTACCCATTACGGTTCATGAGATACAGCCCTCTGACAGACGGACGGACATCGGAGGCTTATTAATACGGTTCCGTTCGCACCCTTTGGGTTCGGAACCCTAAAAAGCTAGATCATGCAATTTTGCATAGTAACCTACTGTTTTGTTATTATATATCGGTGAAAAATAAAAATAGTGGAATTGGACATCACGTACATTTTTGTGATAATTATGCATTTGTAAATTTTCATCATATGCACTGATAATGATTGAGTCATTTTAAATATAAAAACTCATGGTTATTTCTAAGAAATCATTCGCCAGTCGGTATCCGACCAAATACAGCATGATGTCTAAAGCTTTTCTTATTGTCTGTGCTCAAGCGGTCCTTATTCACGTAAGTTGTTGATATTTTCTTGTAAAGTAAATATACATTTTAAAATTTACCTTTAACGCATGATTTTTTTATTTTAACAATCAATCCCTTGGCTTTTTCCCGACACGTTTGGCTTAGTTTGTAGTGACCCTCTTTGCTACGCCAGCGGTCGCGGGTTCGAGTCCCGCTGGTGGCATTCATTTGTTTGATCATTCAGTCATGGGTATTATATTTAGAATATGTATGTATTTAAAGTTATATACGTGTAGTGTATTAACTATCTGGTATCCATAACACAAGCCACGTAGCTTACCATGGAACTAGATGGTGCTGTATGTTGATGTACTAACATATTTATTAATTTTCCTATTTGGGGTCAGCCCTCCTGATACTTTTACGCCACTCTTGGCGATTTTGTGTCATTTCTTGCGTTAGGCCAATTGTCAACATATCATTGTGGATTGCACTGATCCAGGTAATGTAGACCTGTCTGGTCATATGGTCTTCACTACGGCGCATTACGTGACAGACTCACTACGTGACCTACTACGTGACTTTTTCCTCATTTTCTGCAGAAAACACAAACAATTTATTATTATTAAACTGCTGAACACTTCTTAAAAAACATAACACCTCGACCTAACGCCTCTACTGGTGACAGGAGAGGTTCGTTTTTTGCCCATAGAATCGGCATTGCCATTCAGCGTAGTTTTGTATATATAATTAAGTATATTTGTAATGTCCTTTATTGTAAATAAAGTAATTAATTATTTATTACAGTGTATAGCCGCACAATGCATCGGTTCATATAATCGTTTGGCTGCTCCGTGTGCTGGAGTTGGGTCTTATGATGGTCCTGGTATTGCTTACCCTTCTCCTTGCGGTGCCGGTATTGGTAATTATCAGATAGGCAGTTCGTACGGTATTGGCGCGTCTGCCGCTTCGAGTGGAGGTTGTCTGCCAACTACAAGTGCATCCCCTATCGCTCCCAATGGTGTGTCCTTGGTGTCGGAGAATGTTTATGAAGGCGGTTTAGAAGTTTTCGGCGCATTGCCATTCTTGGGAACAGTGGCTCTGGAAGGTGTCCTGCCCACTGCGGGCGCTGGTGCTGTTGCTTATAGTTGTGGTAATGGACAAGTTGGTATTTTATCCGAAGATATATCTGGTGCTGGCATTGGAGGCTTAGGATATGGATATGGGGCTGGAGCCCTAGGTTATGGAGCTGGAGCCCTGGGCTTGGGCTATGGGGCTGGAGCTTTAGGATATGGCGCTGGTGCACTCGGTTATGAAGCTGGTCTGGGTCGTTCAGCTTACGGCTGCAATGGCTTAGGCAATATTGGAGGACAAGCTTCGTGTGGATGCTGTGGTCGAATTTAAAGGGTTATACTTTGTCAAACATTTGATTGAAAACAAATAAAATTTTCCAAGCCGTACATTTATGTTATCATTTGGACGTAGTTATGCAAACAGGATCCAGCCCACAAAAACCCTTTTTATAAGTTACTGTCATAAATGGTACCTATATATCAACTTTCGTATATGCAAAAATATCCAAGCCACTAAGCTTGCCGTTTTCCTTTTGCAACATCCATACGCTAACGATACCATCAAAATATTAAGCATTTTCGGAGAGTTGAAATAGAACTATGTATCATTGTAACTTAGATAACGGGTTATAAAATAACTACGGTCTTGTTATTTCGATATACCAATTTTACTAAATTTGGCAATTGTACATTTTTTTACAAAATTTGAGAGCAAAATAAAAAAAATTAAAGTGAAAGTTTGAGGATAGTGTAAACATAAAACATAAGTCATTCATTAAGTACTTGTTTTAGACTTATATTAATAAAATATCTAAAAACCGAGACCTACAAGATATTAACCAGAAATATTGAGAAAACACTACTTTTACTTTGATTGCTTTGAAACTTTTATCTATTTCAATTCATTCTAATAATGCTTTTTTGGAGAAGTGTTAGCTGAAGCCTAGCGAAGGATATAGATAAAGCAGGCAAGATATTATTGGAAATTTTCTACAATCATAAATAATACAATCGTTTGATGGAAAAAGCTATGTATTTAGACTTTTATTATCTTTTGTTAAGTTTGTAATGCCAAGAAAAACATAACATGTAAAAAAGTACAAGTCTCCCAACGCAGTTCTTCTACTGCGAAAAGTTTTGAGTTCTCTTACACAACCAAGTCGGTTAATTTATTCAGTACCTACGAGTATATGTGGAAGTATCTATCCGACAACTTTATCGTAAATTGTTACCAAATTAATTAAATAACAACAATGTACAGTGACCGCATCAATATTAGATATATTGATTTATTTAACTATCGAGTTACACTCGCTTCGCTCGGGTGTTTCCCTACGATTGTTTTTTTTTGAGTGGAACCCTAATACTTTTTCTAAAATCAAAATAGCATAAGTTACTCCTTATAACATCAGCTATCTGCCAGTGAAAATTCCATCAAAATCGGTGCAGTTATTTTTTTTTCTATAATATGTATGTATTATACATATAAACCTTCCTCTTGAATCAGTCTATCTATTGCTGAAAACTGCATTAAAATCCATTTGGTAGTTTAAAACATTTAAGCGAATAGACAGCGGTACACACCTTTTTACCCAACTGTGGCGAAACCCATAGAGGGCTATTTCATTATGAATATTTCTGTCATGGAGTTTTTGACAGAAATATTCATAATGAATTTTTTGAATGAAATTAAAAACTTGGTATTTTACAAGTAACACCTATTCAAACAACGTTTCAGTTTTGCTCTGCTGAGAGTTGAGACATATGATTTTATTTATATTAAGACTTATACTTATCTCTCTATCATTTAACAAAAATCTAACTAAGTCGAATCTATTATTGAAATAGTACTTATTATCGATACAGAAGTCGAATCTAGTTTTTAGAATTTTTGTCTGTCTGTCTGTCTGGGAACGCATCACGAAAAAACCACTACACAGATTTTGATGAAATTCGGTTTAATGATAGCTGGTTATGCGGGTCAACATATAGCAGAATATCTCATCTCTGAGTAATCTATAGACTACACTAAACGTTAAAACAAAACTAGGGACCAACCCGAGCAGAGCAAGGGTTGGTCCCTAATATCTTTATAAATTATAAAGATATCCTCCATTCCGTGGGATATTGATGATTCATATGATTGATGATACGTAAAAATTTTTAACGTTTTTGAGCAAGCAATTGAAGTTATGTAAGAAATAGACCGTACGTGACAAAATACAATGTAATGTGCATTGACCTTTATCAATAATGATTACAAAATCAAAAATATAAGTATGTTTGTTGTTATATCGTAGGTCTATAATATTCTATTTCAAGGAAATCATTGACGAGAGTCCGTCCTTCTGTACGTATGTATGTGTGCGCTTATCTTGAAAACTTCTGAACGAACTTAGATGATGCTTTCGTGTGGTCCGATCTGTATTTCAGCAGGAAGAATGTGGTGAATATGAAATTGTTCTTGCACTCTAACAATAAGATCCGAGTACATATTAAATCTGAATCGGCAGAAAAAGTGTAACTTGGTTACTTAATCCGCAAGCGCTGACCAACTGGTATAGAATCTTAGAAAGTTAGGTTTTTTTTGTAAATTCTAAACTTTATTACTCAGTTTACGCGGCGCACGTCAATAAAGCCACCAATTAGCACGATTCTTTTCGACATCTTTTAATATGTTGGTACATTAACACACAGCACCATCTAGTTCCATAGCAAGCTACGAGACCTGTGTTATGGATACCAGATAGTTGATACACTACACATAGGTATATAACTTTAAATACATACATACATAAATATAATCACCTGTGACTGGAGTACAAACACTCGTGCTCGTTACACAAATGTATGCCCCCATCGGGCCTCGAATCCGCAACTGCTGGCACAGCAAGTAGGGTCATGTCGTCAACAATCATCGTCATATTTCAGCGAATTTGTGCAAAACCTTAACGAATTATACACCTTAACCTGCCTCATGAATCATTACACCTATTGGTGAAAACCGTATGAAAATCTGTTCGGTAGTTTTTGAGTTTATAGCGTTCAGACAGACAGACATAAGCGGTGGGGGACTTTATAATATGCAGTGATATATATTTTTGGGTAACAAATTGATGTAAATAAAATCAAAAATTTATTAAACGTTTCAAATAACATTCATTTTTAATTAATGTGAATTATGTATAATATATCCCATGGAGGTTCCGATCTTTAAAATGTTCTGCCTAAAATCGATTTTTTATAGAATATTAATTTAAAATCATTACGAGATAGATTTTCTTGCATAATTCTATTAATTATAATTTGTTAAAAAAGTGATTCCTTTCATTTTACAGTCTATAAATAAATAACGAAATGTTTTGCAAAAGAAATTCTTTAATTATAATTTACAATACACATATTTTTTCATTAAGATCCAGCGATTGAAAGGTTTCTAGTATATGTAACCATTGCACCCGCAACCACAACTGCCAGCGATGCAAACCGACCCAGCAGCAGGGACAGCACCATCGAAACAAACAGAGCCCAGGATAGGCACCTGTCCACCGACCAGTGTGGAACCAGCAACGGGCAGTTGCCCTAACACTAATACATCACCGCTGCCAGAACCGCCGTAAGCTGCTGAGGATAAGCCGTAGTTCGAATCCCAAGCCGACAGACCAGCTCCAGGACCTGCAATACCGTCTAGACCATACGCTCCAATAGAAGAAAGTCCAGAATTTAGACCGCAACCCCTGGAACCCCAGAGACCAGCACCGTAGCCGATAGCAGCTGGACCAGCAGTCGATAAGCACTGACTGAACACATCCTATGAACATAGAGATTGTTAAGAAAATGTTCATAAACATCAACCAGTATCATGTTTATATATATATTTGTTCGGGACAAAACTTGCAACTGATTTTTTTTTAAATTATCCTTAACCGATTGAGCTGAAATGTTGCATACACGTTTAGTTTGGATGAGAATGCATGGCTATATAAGTAACGTTATTCTAAATCCGACATGGCGCATCCCAAAGATGGCGGAATATGTTTTTTATGCACCCCCATGATATGGATGTCAAGTAAAAGGGTTTGCTGAGAGGAATACGAATAAATGACAAAAAAATTAACTTTAAATTATATCAAACCTATGTATTTACTGCACAATTTAAGGCTTGTTTTAATTTTTTTTTAATATTAATTTATTATCTATTAGCTTACCTGAACCAAGCAAATCTGAACACATAATAAAAAGAATGCAAAACTCTTCATTTTTAAGGCTTTTTGCTAATTTATGTATGTATTATTAAACAGGAGACTTCTCTGACACAATGGCTTACAAAGCAATGCTGTGGTTTTATACTAGACGTATTATCGAGTCTTTAGTGCTATCAATATTTTGCAAGATACAAACGTTGCCTATCTATTTAAAATAAAAGTCGGTCAAGTGCGAGTCGAATTCGCACACGAAGGGTTCCGTACCATCGTACATGTACTTTTTATTAATATGACTTTTACTCTATATATGTAGTATATTGACTTCGATGATCGATTACGAACGTTAAAAGAATGTTGCTTGTATTTTCATTTTTTATTTATTTTATTACTTGTCGATAACAACAACGAATAAATAAATAACATCGGCTATAGAAATACACACTATGTCTAAATTTCAACTCTGTATCTACTACGGTTCATGAGATACAGCCCTCTGACATACGGACGGACGGACAACGGAGGCTTAGTAATAGGGTTCCGTTGGCACCCTTTGGGTACGGAACCCTAAAAAGCAATATCATGCTATTTTGCATAGTAACCTACTGTTTTGTTATTATATATCGGTGAAAAATAAAAATAGTGGAATTGGACATCACGTACATTTTTGTGATATTTATGCATTTGTAAATTTTCATCATATGCACTGATAATGATTGAGTCATTTTAAATATAAAAACTCATGGTTATTTCTAAGAAATCATTCGCCAGTCGGTATCTGACCAAATACAGCAAGATGTCTAAAGCTTTTCTTATTGTCTGTGCTCAAGCGGCCCTTATTCACGTAAGTTGTTGATATTTCCTTGTAAAGAGAATATACATTTTAAAATTTACCTTTTACGCATGGTTTTTTTATTTTAAAAATCAACCCCTTGGCTTTTTCCCGACACGTTTGGCTTAGTTTGTAGTGACCCTCTTTGCTACGCCAGCGGTCGCGGGTGCGAGTCCCACTGGGGGCATTCATTTGTTTGATCATTCAGTCACGGGTGTTTATATTTAGAATATGCATGTATTTAAAGTTATATACGTGTAGTGTATTAACTGTCTGGTATCCATAACACAAGCCTCGTAGCTTACCAGGGAACTAGATGGTGCTGTGTGTTGATGTACTAACATATTTATTAATTTTCCTATTTGGGGTCAGCCCTCCTGATACTTTTACGCCACTCTTGGCGATTTTGCGTCATTTCTGGCGTTAAGCCAATCGTCAACATGTCATTGTGGATTGCACTGATCCAGGTAATGTAGACCTGTCTGGTCATATGGACTTCACTACGGCATATTACGTGACAGACTTACTACGTGACCTACTACGTGAGGTGATAACAAAAACATTTTATTATTATTAAACTGCTGAACACTTCTTAAAAAACATAACACCTCGACCTATCTACTTTCGTTTTCGCCCAAAGAATCGGCATTGCCATTCAGCGTAGTTTTGTATATATAATTAAGTATATTTGCAATGTCCTTTATTGTAAATAAAGTAATTAATTATTTATTACAGTGTATAGCCGCACAATGCATCGGTTCATATAATCGTTTGGCTGCTCCGTGTGCTGGACTTGGGTCTTATGATGGTCCTGGTATTGCTTACCCTTCTCCTTGCGGTGCCGGTATTGGTAATTATCAGATAGGCAGTTCGTACGGTATTGGCGCGTCTGCCGCTTCGAGTGGAGGTTGTCTGCCAACTACAAGTGCATCCCCTATCGCTCCCAATGGTGTGTCTTTGGTGTCGGAGAATGTTTATGAAGGCGGCTTAGAAGTTCTCGGCGCATTGCCATTCTTGGGAACAGTGGCTCTGGAAGGTGTCCTGCCCACTGCGGGCGCTGGTGCTGTTGCTTATAGTTGTGGTAATGGACAAGTTGGTATTTTATCCGAAGATATATCTGGTGCTGGCATTGGAGGCTTAGGATATGGATATGGAGCTGGAGCCCTAGGTTATGGAGCTGGAGCCCTGGGCTTGGGCTATGGGGCTGGAGCTTTAGGATATGGCACTGGTGCACTCGGTTATGAAGCTGGTCTGGGTCGTTCAGCTTATGGCTGCAATGGCTTAGGCAATATTGGAGGACGAGCTTCGTGTGGATCTTGTGGTCGAATTTAAAGGGTTATACTTTGTCAAGCATTTGATTGAAAACAAATAAAATTTTCAAGCCGTACATTTATGTTATGATTTGGACATGGATCCAGCCCACAAAAACCGTTTTATGAGTTACCTACTGACATAAATGGCACCTATATATCAACTTTAGTATATGCAAAAATATCCAAGCCACTACTAAGCTTGCCTTTTTCCTTTTGCAACATCCATACGCTAACGATACCACCAAAAAAAATAAAAACTTTTTAACAAAAAATAAAAACCGACTTCAAACAAAAGCACTAAAAAGTAAAAAATAACTGATTGGTAGTTTTCATTTACTATACATACCTAATCAAATATTTTCGAAGTCGGTGTGCTTTGCTTTGTATGGGCTGGCACCAATTTCGAAAATATTTCATTAGGTATGTATTTAATAGGTAGGCTTTAATTACTTAGCCAAAGCACACCGACTTCGAAAATATTTGATTAGGTATGTCTAGTAAATGAAAACTACCAATCAGTTATTTTTTACTTTTTAGTGCTTTTGTTTGAAGTCGGTTTTTATTTTTTGTTAAAAAGTTTTTATTTTTCCCTTTTTAGTGTAGACAGTAGTAGCAAAGTAAGGATTCTAACGTGTTAAGCTTGTCAAATCAAACAAAATAAGCCCAAACTCAAAGTATCTACTATTAGCCGTTTGAAGAGTTGCACCTATCCACCTTCTGGGCCTTGCCCATCAGATCAGGTGTCAACAACACCGACCCACTGTACTATCAACGGAAATAGAAATACTTGCAAAGTTTCAAGTTAATATGACAATTAGAAGTAGGTTAAATTCATCATTAGTTGTTTTTCCACCCTTAGGGGTGGTATTTTTTTTTGAAATTTAAATGGGACCAATCTGGAAGTATACCCTTTCAAACAAAACAAAAATTGTCCAAATCGGTTAATAAATGACGGAGCTCTGAGGTAACAAACATAAAAAAAAAAAAAAAACATACAGTCGAATTGAGAACCTCCTCCTTTTTGAAGTCGGTTGAATATTAAGCATTTTCGTTGAGTTGGAATAGAAATATGTATCATTGTAACTTAGATAACGGGTTATAAAATAACTACGGTCTTGTTATTTTGATATACCAATTTTACTAAATTTGGCAATTGTACATTTTTTAACAAAATTTGAGAGCAAAATAAAAAAAAAAAAGTGAAAATTTGAGGATCTAAGTGTAAACATGATGCATAAGTCTTGTTTTAGACCTAAATTAATAAAATATCTAAAAACCGAGACCTACAAGACATTAACCAGAAATATTAAGAAAATACTACTTTGATTGCTTTGAGACTTTTGTCAATTTCAAATGATTCTAATAATGCTTATTTTAGAGTTAGTGTTAGCTGACGCCTGGCGAAGGATATAGATAAAGCAGGCAAGATATTATTGGAAATTTTCTCCTTTTTTTTCAAGAATTTTTGAAAAGAAATACAATCGTTTGATGGAAAAATTTACTTTAATTTTTATTATCTTTTGTTAAGTTTGTAATCCCATGAAAAACATAACATGTAAAAAAGTACAAGTCTCCCAACGCAGTTCTTCTACCGCAAAAAGTTTTGATATCTCTTGTACAACCAAGTCGGTTAATTTATTCAGTACCTACGAGTATATGTGGAAGTATCTATCCGACAACTTGGTCATAAATTGTTACCAAATTAGTTAAATAACAACAATGTATACTGACCGTATCAATATTAGATATATTTATTTATTTATTTAACTAGCGAGTTAATCTCGCTTCGCTCGGGTGTTTCCCTATGTATGTTTTATTTTTTTTGAGCGGAACCCTAATACTTTTTCTAAAATCAAAATAGCATAAGTTACTCATTATAACATCAGCTATCTGCCAGTGAAAGTAACATCAAAATCGGTGTAGTTGAACAAACAAACAAACAAATTTTAAAAATTGTGTTTTTCTTATACATATACTTTATATAAACTAGCGACTTCCCTAAGTACGTTTTAACGGTTAGTATAAAATACAAATCTGAATATCTCGGCTTTTCTATAATATGCATGTATTATAAATATAAACCTTCCTCTTGAATCAGTCTATCTATTGTTGAAAAATTGTGTTTTACTTATACATATGTACCGTTTATTATTTCATATGCATTTAGTAAAAAGCTGTTATTTTGACATTACATACATAAACTTTAACTGTATAAATAGAATAACTTATATTGAAATTGCTTTATTAAAAAGATGTTTGAATGACTTAAAATATATACTTTATATAAAATTAGCGACTCACCTTCGCTTCACTCAGGATCGTCCTTAGGTACGTTTTGACGGTTAGTATGAAATACAAATCTGAATATCTCGGCTTTTCTATAATATGAATGTATTATACATATAAACCTTCCTCTTGAATCAGTCTATCTATTGTTGAAAACTGCATTAGAATCCGTTAGGTAGTTTAAAACATCTAAGCGAACAGACAGCGGTACACACCTTTTTACCCAACTATGGCGAAACCTATAGAAGGGCTATTTCATCTATACATATAATAAGATTGTAACTAAGCCGAATCTGTACATTAAATACTTTTTGGAAAATCTTATTGAAATAAACATTATTATCAATAAAGACGCCAAATCTATAGTTTTTACAAATTTATGTCTGTCTGTCTGTTACCGCATCACAGAAAAACCACTGGAGGGATTTTGATGAAATTTGGTATTGTGATAGCTGGTTATCCGAGTCAACATATAGGATACTTTTTACCGCAGAAAAATGTGTCATTTCTGAAAAATGCAATGTAAGAGTATACTAATATGTAAGACCTAATAATTTGCTTTTTGGTCATCTGAACGTGGGCGGAGCCGCGGGCAATGCTAGTTATGAATATTTCTGTCAAAAACTCCATGTATTTTACAAGTAACATCTGTTTAAACAACGTTTCATTTTTGCTCTGCTGAGACTTGAGACATATGATTTTATCTATTATATTTAAACGAGCAATTCTTGTATGTATATATATAATCTGAATCTCAGAAACGGCTCAAACGATTTTCATGAAATTTAGTAGACAAGGGATTCGGGGGCGATAAATCGATCTAGATTAGTCTTATGTCTGGGAAAATGCGTGTTTTCGAGTTTTCATGCGGTTTTGTTTCGCATTATTCCACGCAAAATATGGTCGCTAATTCGCACGCTAGGACATAAGCATCGTGGTGAAACGACCAAAGCACAAGTTTAACAACCACAGGTGTCTAGGTTCGTATCCCAGTTGAATACAAAGTTTTTACTTTTGTCTTTTGTATTTATTAAAATTTTTAGTTTGTTCTTTTTTTATGTTTTTTGGCCAAAAACTCCGAGCAAAGCCCAGTTACTTTATATTAACACTTATACTTATCTCTCTATAATTCAACAAAAATTCTAACTGAGTCGAATCTATAAATTAAATATTTATTTGGAAAATTTTATTGAAATAGTCATTATTATCGATATAATCGTATCGATACTTCGACAGAGGCTGAATCTAGTTTAAAAAATTTTTGTCTGTCTGTCTGGGAACGCATCACGGAAAAACCACTGGACAGATTTTGATGCATCCGAATATCCGGGTCTACATATAGGAAAATATCTCATCTCTGAGAATCTATAGACTACTCTAAACGTTCAAACGAATCTAATAAAGAATCGAGAGAAAAAAAAAGAATCGAGGGTTGGTCCCTAGTATCTTTATAAATTATAAAGAGATCCTCCATTCCGTGGGATATTGATGATTCATATGATTGATGATACGTAAAATGTTCTAACGTTTTTGAGCAAGCGATTAAAGTTATGTAAGAAATAGACCGTACGTGACAAAATACAATATAATGTGCATTGACCTTTGTCAATATTGTTATAGTTTACAAAATCAAAACTATATGTATGTTTGTAATTACATATATCGTACGTGTATAATATTCTAATTAAAGAAAATCATTGGCGAGAGTCAATAAAGCCACCCATTAGCACGATTTTTTCGACATCTTTTAATATGTTGGGACATTAACACACAGCACCATCCAGTCCCATGGTAAGCTTCGAGGCTTGTGTTATGGATACCAGATAGTTGATACACTACACATATATAACTTTAAATATATACAATATACATATTATAAATATAATCACCCGTGACTGGAGTACAAACACTCGTGCTCGTTACACAAATATATGCCCCCAGCGGGCCTTGAACCCGGAACTGCTGACACAGCAAGTAGGGTCACTATGTCATGTCGTCAACATTCATCGTCATGTTTTAGCGAATTTACACAAAACCTTAATGAATTATACACCTCAACCTTCCTAATGAATTAATTACACCTATCGGTGAAAACCGTATGAAAATCTGTTCGGTAGTTTTTGAGCTTATCGCGTTCAGACAGACGGACAGAAGCGGCGGTGGAGTTTATAATATGCAGTGATATATATTTTTGGATAACTTATTAATGTAAATAAAATAAAAATTATTAAACATTTCAAATTACAGTTACGATCTTTAAAATGTATCACACCCAAAATCGATTTTTTATAGAATATTAATTTAAAATCATTGAGAGATAAATTTTCTTGCATAATTCTATTAATTATAATTTGTTAAAAAAGTGATTCCTTTCATTTTACAGTCTATAAATAAATAACAAAATGTTTTGCAAAAGAAATTCTTTAATTGTAATTTGTAATACACATATTTTTTCATTCAGATCCAGCGTTTGAAAGGTTTCTAGTAGACGTAACCATTGCATCCGCAACCGCAACTGCCAGCGATGCAAACCGACCCAGCAGCAGGGACAGCTCCATCGAAACAAACAGAGCCCAGGATGGGCACCTGTCCACCGACCAGTGTGGAACCAGCAACGGGCAGTTGCCCAAACACTAATACATCACCGCTGCCAGAACCACCGTAAGCTGCTGAGGATAAGCCGTAGTCAGAACCCCAAGCCGAGAGACCAGCTCCAGGACCTGCAATACCGTCTAGACCATACGCTCCAATAGAAGAAAGTCCGGAATTTAGACCGCAACCCCTGGAACCCCAGAGACCAGCACCGTAGCCGATAGCAGCTGGACCAGCAGTCGATAAGCACTGACTGAACACATCCTATGAACATAGAGACTGTTAAGAAAATGTTCATAAACATCAACCAGTATCATGTTTACAAGCTTTTATTAAACTTGTAATGTTTGTATGTATGTTTGTTCGGGTTAAAACTTGCAACTGATTTTTTTTTTAATTATTCTTAACCGATTGAGCTGAAATTTTGCATACACGGTTAGTTTGGATAAGAATGCATGGCTATATAAGCGACGTTATTTTAAATCCGACATGGCGGACCCCCAAAGATGGCGGAATATGTTTTTTATGCACCCCCATGATATGGATGTCAAGTAAAAGAGTTTGCTGAGAGGAATACGAATAAATAACTAAAAAAATTTCTTTAAATTATATCAAACCCATACATTTACTGCACAATTTAAAGCTTGTTTAAATTAAAAAAAAAAACATTAATTTATTATCTATTAGCTTACCTGAACCAAGCAAATCTGAACACATAATAAAAAGAATGCAAAACTCTTCATTTTTAAGGCTTTTTACTAATTGACGTATGTATAAGTAAACAGGAGGCTTCTCTGACACAATGGCTTACAAAGCAATGCTGTGGTTTTATACTAGACGTATTATCGAGCCTTTAGTGCTATCAATATTTTGCAAGATCCAAACGTTGCCTATCTATTTAAAATAAAAGTCGGTCAAGTGCGAGTCGAATTCCCACACGAAGGGTTCGGTACCATCGTATATGTACTTTTTTATGAATATGACTTTTACTCTATGTATGTAGTATATTGACTTCGATGAACGATTACGAACGTTAAAAGAATGTTTCTCGTATTTTTATTTATTTATTATTCATTGTGAAAATTTTAACTCTTTACCTATTACGGTTCATGAGATACAGCCTTTGACATACGGACAGACGGACCACGAAGGCTTATTGAAACGGTTCCGTTCGCACCCTTTGGGTACGGAACCCTAAAAAGCTAAATCATGCAATTTTGCATAGTAACCTACTGTTTTGTTATTATATATCGGTGAAAAATAAAAATAGTGGAATTGGACATCACGTACATTTTTGTGATATTTATGCATTTGTAAATTTTCATCATATGCACTGATAATGATTGAGTCATTTTAAATATAAAAACTCATGGTTATTTCTAAGAAATCATTCGCCAGTCGGTATCTGACCAAATACAGCAAGATGTCTAAAGCTTTTCTTATTGTCTGTGCTCAAGCGGCCCTTATTCACGTAAGTTGTTGATATTTTCTTGTAAAGTAAATTTACATTTTATAATTTACCTTTTACGAATGGTTTTTTTTTATTTTAACAATCAATCCCTTGGCTTATTCCCGATACGTTTGACTCAGTTTGTAGTGACCCTACTTGCTGCGTCAGTGGTCGCGGGTTCGAGCCCCGCTGAGGGCATTCATTTGTGTGATCATTCAGTCATGGGTGTTTATATTTATAATATGTATGTATTTAAAGTTATATATATGTAGTGTATCAACTATCTGCTATCCATAACACAGGCCTCGTAACTTAACTAGATGGTGCTGTGTGTTGATGTCACACCATATTTATTTATATCCCTATTTGGGGTCAGCCCTCCTGATATTTGAATTGCTTAGTAAGTTGTTTTTAAATAATAGCAAACTAAATTAAAATTATTATCCTTCATTAATTTTAACTTTTTAAATTACACATAGAACAATGGCTTAAATAATTAATACTATATTTTATATTTTTCTTTATGGTTATAAACATAATAATGGCAACACTTAATATAGATTACTAATTAATATTTTTAAAATTGTAATAATTATAAAAATAATAGCAAAAATTAAATAAATAATATTCCATATTCAATTATAATTAAAATTATAAAAATGTTTAAAGTTAAAAAATATTGTAATGTAATTGGTGCAATTTTCATTTTGTTAATTGTGGGTAGGCTGTCTGTAACAACTATACCTTCAAGACATGTTCAGTCTCTCCCGTGACCATGGATGCTGTAAAGCATTCGAAACGTCCAAAAATCAAAATAAATCCGCGAAATAATCCGAAAAGATAGTTTTATTTAATTTTGTCAAACATTCGCGTAAATCTAAGAAAGTATTATATATTTGCAATGTCCTTTATTGTAAATAAAGTAATTAATTATTTATTACAGTGTCTAGCCGCACAATGCATCGGTTCATATAATCGTTTGGCTGCTCCGTGTGCTGGACTTGGGTCTTATGATGGTCCTGGTATTGCTTACCCTTCTCCTTGCGGTGCCGGTATAGGCAGTTCGTACGGTATTGGCGCGTCTGCCGCTTCGAGTGGAGGTTGTCTGCCAACTACAAGTGCATCCCCTATCGCTCCCAATGGTGTGTCTTTGGTGTCGGAGAATGTTTATGAAGGTGGTTTAGAAGTTCTCGGCGCATTGCCATTCTTGGGAACAGTGGCTCTGGAAGGTGTCCTGCCCACTGCGGGCGCTGGTGCTGTTGCTTATAGTTGTGGTAATGGACAAGTTGGTATTTTATCCGAAGATATATCTGGTGCTGGCATTGGAGGTTTAGGATATGGATATGGAGCTGGAGCCCTAGGTTATGGAGCTGGAGCCCTGGGCTTGGGCTATGGGGCTGGAGCTTTAGGATATGGCGCTGGTGCACTCGGTTATGAAGCTGGTCTGTCTCGTTCAGCTTGCGGCTGCAATGGATTAGCCAATATTGGAGGACGAGCTTCATGTGGATCCTGTGGTCGAATTTAAAGGGTTATACTTTGTCAAGCATTTGATTGAAAACAAATAAAATTTTCCAAGCCGTACATTTATGTTATCATTTGGACATTGATCCAGCCCACAAAAACCACTTTTTGAGTTACTGGCATAAATGACACCTATATATCAACTTTAGTATATGCAAAAGTGTAGCCATTTCGTAGATTAGCCGGAACAAAGAGACAGACAGATTTTAAAAATTGTGTTTTTCTTATACATATGTACCGTATATTATTTCATATGCATTTAGTAAAAAGCTGTTATTTTGACATTAAATACATAAACTTTAACTTTATTTATCTGTATAAATAGAATAACTGACTGTTGATTAACTGATGTTTGAATTACTTAAAATATATACTTTATATAAAACCAGCGACTCACCTTCGCTTCATTCAGGATCGTCCCTAGGTACGTTTTGACGGTTAGTATGAAATACAAATCTGAATATCTCGGCTTTTCTATAATATGAATGTATTATACATATAAACCTTCCTCTTGAATCAGTCTATCTATTGCTGAAAACTGCATTAAAATCCGTTAGGTAGTTTAAAACATCTAAGCGAACAGACAGCGGTACACACCTTTTTACCCAACTGTGGCGAAACCCATAGAGGGCTATTTCATTATGAATATTTCTTGTAAAAAACTCCATGTATTTTACAAGTAACACCTATAAATCACCGTTTCAGTTTTGCTCTGCTGAGAGTTGAGACATGATTTTATTTATAATACTTATACTTATCTCTCTATCAGTCAACAAAAATTTTAAGTCGAATTTATTATTGAAATAGTCATTATTATCGATACAGAGACCGGATCTAGTTTTTAGAATTTTTGTCTGTCTGTCTGTCTGGGCACGCATCACGGAAAACCACTGGACAGATTTTGATGAAATTTGGTTTAATGATGGCTGGCTATCCGGGTCAAAATATCTCATCTCTGAGAAATCTATAGACTACTCTAAACATTCAAGCGAATCTAGGGACCAACCCGACCAGAGCGAGGGTTGGTCCCTAGTATCTTTATAAATTATAAGGAGATCCTCCATTCCGTGGGATATTGATGATTCATATGATTGATGATACGTAAAATGTTCTAACGTTTTTGAGCAAGCAATTAAAGTTATGTAAGAAATAGACCGTACGTGACAAAATACAATATAATGTGAATTGACCTATGTCAATATTGTTATAGTTTACAAAATCAAAAATATATGTATGTTTGTAATTACATATATCGTACGTCTATAATATTCTAATTAAAGGAAATCATTGGCGAGAGTCCGTCCTTCTGTACGTATGTATGTGTGCGCTTATCTTGAAAACTTCAGAACGAATTTAGATGATATTTTCGTCTGTTACGATCTGTGAACAGCAGGAAGAATGTGGTGAATATGCAATTGTTCTTGCACTCTTACAATAAGAGCCGAGTACATATTAAATCTGAATCGGCAGAAAAAGTGTTACTTGGTTACTTTATCAGCATGCGATGACCAACTGGTATAGAATCTTAGAAAATTCAATTTTTTCGTAAATTCTGATTTATTACTTAGTTCACGCGGCGCACGTCAATAACGCCATCAATTAGCACGATTTTTTTCGACATCTTTTAATATGTTGGGACATTAACACACAGCACCATCCAGTCCCATGGTAAGCTTCGAGGCTTGTGTTATGGATACCAGATAGTTGATACACTACACATATATAACTTTAAATATATACAATATACATATTATAAATATAATCACCCGTGACTGGAGTACAAACACTCGTGCTCGTTACACAAATATATGCCCCCAGCGGGCCTTGAACCCGGAACTGCTGGCACAGCAAGTAGGGTCACTATGTCATGTCGTCAACATTCATCGTCATATTTCAGCGAATTTATACAAAACCTTAATGAATAATACACCTCAACCTTCCTAATGAATTAATTACACCTATCGGTGAAAACCGTATGAAAATCTGTTCGGTAGTTTTTGAGCTTATCGCGTTCAGACAGACGGACAGAAGCGGCAGTGGAGTTTATAATATGCAGCGATATATATATTTTGGATAACTTATTAATGTAAGTAAAATAAAAATTATTAAACATTTCAAATTACAGTTACGATCTTTAAAATGTTCTAACCAAAATCGATTTTTTATAGAATATTAATTTACAGTCATTGAGAGATAAATTTTCTTGCATAATTCTATTAATTATAATTTGTTAAAAAACTGATTCCTTTCATTTTACAGTCTATAAATAAATAACGAAATGTTTTGCAAAAGAAATTCTTTAATTGTAATTTGTAATACACATATTTTTTCATTCAGATCCAGCGTTTGAAAGGTTTCTAGTAGACGTAACCATTGCATCCGCAACCGCAACTGCCAGCAATGCAAACCGACCCAGCAGCAGGGACAGCTCCATCGAAACAAACAGAGCCCAGGATGGGCACCTGTCCACCGACCAGTGTGGAACCAGCAACGGGCAGTTGCCCAAACACTAATACATCACCGCTGCCAGAACCACCGTAAGCTGCTGAGGATAAGCCGTAGTCAGAATCCCAAGCGAGCAGACCAGCTCCAGGACCTGCAATACCGTCTAGACCATACGCTCCAATAGAAGAAAGTCCGGAATTTAGACCACAACCCCTGGAACCCCAGAGACCAGCACCGTAGCCGATAGCAGCTGGACCAGCAGTCGATAAGCACTGACTGAACACATCCTATGAACATAGAGATTGTTAAGAAAATGTTCATAAACATCAACCAGTATCATGTTTGTATGTATATTTGTTCGGGACAAAACTTGCAACTGATTTTTTTTTTAAGTATCCTTAACCGATTGAGCTGAAATGTTGCACACATGTTTAGTTTGGATAAGAATGCATGGCTATATAAGTAACGTTATTCTAAATCCGACATGGCGGACTCCCAAAGATAGCGGAATGTTTTTTATGCACCCCCATGATATGAATGTCAAGTAAAAGGGTTTGCTGAGAGGAATACGAATAAATGACAAAAAAATTAACTTTAAATTATATCAAACCTATGTATTTACTGCACAATTTAAAGCTTGTTTTAATTTTCTTTTAATATTAATTTATTATCTATTAGCTTACCTGAACCCAGCAAATCTGAACACATAATAAAAACAATGCAAAACTCTTCATTTTTAAGGCTTTTTACTAATTTATGTATGTATTAGTAAACAGGAGACTTCTCCGACACAATGGCTTACAAAGCAATGCTGTGGTTTTATACTAGACGTATTATCGAGCCTTTAGTGCTATCAATATTTTGCAAGATCCAAACGTTGCCTATCTATTTAAAATAAAAGTCGGTCAAGTGCGAGTCGAATTCGCACACGAAGGGTTCCGTACCATCGTACATGTACTTTTTATTAATATGACTTTTACTCTATGTATGTAGTATATTGACTTCGATGATAGATTACGAACGTTAAAAGAATGTTGCTTGTATTTTCATTTTTTATTTATTTTATTACTTGTCGATAACAACAACTAATAAAATAAATAACAACGGCAATGGAAATACACACTATGTGTAATTTTCAACTCTGCATCTACTACGGTTCATGAGATACAGCCCTCTGACATACGGACGGACGAACAACGGAGGCTTAGTAATAGGGTTCCGTTGGCACCCTTTGGGTACGGAACCCTAAAAAGCAATATCATGCTATTTTGCAGAGTAACCTACTGTTTTGTTATTATATATCGGTGAAAAATAAAAATAGTGGAAATGGACATCACGTACATTTTTGTGATATTTATGCATTTGTAAATTTTCATCATATGCACTGATAATGATTGAGTCATTTTAGATATAAAAACTCATGGTTATTTCTAAGAAATCATTCGCCAGTCGATATCTGACCAAATACAGCATGATGTCTATAGCTTTTCTTATTGTCTGTGCTCAAGCGGCCCTTATTCACGTAAGTTGTTGATATTTTCTTGCAAAGTATATATACATTACAGTATACATTTTATAAAAACTTTTTAACAAAAAAATAAAAACCGACTTCAAACAAAAGCACTAAAAAGTAAAAAATGACTGATTGGTAGTTTTCATTTACTATACATACCTAATCAAATATTTTCGAAGTCGGTGTGCTTTGCTTTGCATGGGCTGGCACCGATTTCGAAAATATTTGATTAAGTATGTATTTAATAGGTAGGCTTTAATTACTTAGCCAAAGCACACCGACTTCGAAAATATTTGATTAGGTATGTATAGTAAATGAAAACTACCAATCAGTTATTTTTTACTTTTTAGTGCTTTTGTTTGAAGTCGGTTTTTATTTTTTTGTTAAAAAGTTTTTATTTTTCCCTTTTTAGTGTAGACAGTAGTAGCAAAGTAAGGATTCTAACGTGTTAGGCTTGTCAAATCAAACAAAATAAGCCCAAACTCAAAGTATCTACTATTAGCCGTTGAAGAGTTCCTCCTATCCACCTTCTGGCCTTGCCATCAGATCAGGTCAACAACACCGAACCACTGTACTATCAACGGAAATAGAAATACTTGCAAAGTTTCAAGTCAATATGACAATTAGAAGTAGGTTAAATTCATCATTAGTTGTTTTTTCACCCTTAGGGGTGGTATTTTTTTTTGAAATTTAAATGGGACCAATCTGGAAGTATACCCTTTCAAACAAAACAAAAATTGTCCAAATCGGTTAATAAACGACGGAGTTCTGATGTAACAAACATAAAAAAAAAAAAACATACAATCGAATTGAGAACCTCCTCCTTTTTGAAGTCTGTTGAAAATTTACCTTTTACGCATGGTTTTTTATTTTAATAATCAACCCCTTGGCTTTTTCCCGACACGTTTGGCTTAATTTGTAGAGACCCTACTTTCTGCGCCAGCGGTCGCGGGTTCTAGTCCCACTGGGGCATTCATTTGTTTGATCATATAAACACCCATGACTGCATGGGTATTTATATTTTTAATATGTATTTAAAATTATATACGTGTAGTGTATCAACTATCTAGTATCCATAACACAAGCCTCGTAGCTTACCATGGGACTAGATAGTGCTGTGTGTTGATGTACCAACTTATTTATTTATATCCCTATTTAGGGTCAGCCCTCCTGATACTTTTACGCCACTCTTGGCGATTTTGCGTCATTTCCAATCATCAACATATCATTGTGGATTGCACTGATCTAAGTAGTGTAGACCTGTCTGGTCATATGGTCTTCACTACGGCGCATTACGTAATTTTTTCCTCATTTACTGCAGTATTTCAGAGAACACTTCTTAAAAAACATAACATCTCGTCTTAACGCCTCTACTGGTGACAGGAGAGCAGGTTCGTTTTTCGCCCAAAGAATCGGCATTGCTATTCAGCGTAGTTTTTTATATACAATTAAGTATATTTGTAATTTCCTTTATTGTAAATAAAGTAATGAATTATTTATTACAGTGTATAGCCGCACAATGCATCGGTTCATATAATCGCTTGGCTGCTCCGTGTGCTGGACTTGGGTCTTATGATAGTCCTGGTATTGCTTACCCTTCTCCTTGCGGTGCCGGTATTGGTAATTATCAGATAGGCAGTTCGTACGGTATTGGCGCGTCTGCCGCTTCGAGTGGAGGTTGTTTGCCAACTACAAGTGCATCCCCTATCGCTCCCAATGGCGTGTCTTTGGTGTCGGAGAATGTTTATGAAGGCGGCTTAGAAGTTCTCGGCGCATTGCCATTCTTGGGAACAGTTGCTCTGGAAGGTGTCCTGCCCACTGCGGGCGCTGGTGCTGTTGCTTATAGTTGTGGTAATGGACAAGTTGGTATTTTATCCGAAGATATATCTGGTGCTGACATTGGAGGTTTAGGATATGGATATGGAGCTGGAACCCTAGGTTATGGAGCTGGAGCCCTGAGCTTGGGCTATGGGGCTGGAGCTTTAGGATATGGCGCTGGTGCACTCGGTTATGAAGCTGGTCTGGGTCGTTCAGCTTGCGGCTGCAATGGCTTAGGCAATATTGGAGGACTAGCTCAGTGTGGATGCTGTCGAATTTAAAGGGTTATACTTTGTCAAGCATTTGATTGAAAACTAATAAAATTTTCCAAGCCGTACATTTATGTTATCATTTGGACATAGATCCAGCCCACAAAAACCACTTTTTGAGTTACTGGCATAAATGGCACCTGCATATCAACTTTAGTATATGCAAAAAATATCCAAGCCTTAGTGGCTTGCCTTATTTCTTTTGCAACATCCATACGCTAACGATAGGTACCACCAAAATATTAAACATTTTCTTAGAGTTAGAATAGAACTACATGTAGCGGAGCTACCACTGTGTTTAAATGTTTTAATGTGTAATATATATGATGTTCATATACCTGTCTGTCCTATTTATCTATTTTAATAATTACGAGTAGTTTAATATATATCATGTAGCACGAAGGCTATTCTTATTTCTTTAAGTACACTTTGTGCAAGTATGAGCAGAGTAGGAATAGTCTATGGCTTTAATTAAAGAAAAATGAGTCGTATGGCGGTAGAAATAGAATCGTGCTTAATAAGCAGGCGACACAGACGGGGGGCTACAAGATATTAACCAGAAATATTAAGAAAACTCTACTTTTACTTTGATTGCTTTGAAACTTTTATCTATTTCAATTTATTCTAATAATGCTTTTTTGGAGAAGTGTTAGCTGAAGCCTGGCGAAGGATATAGATAAACCAGGCAAGAAATTATTGGAAATTTTCTACAATCATAAATAATACAATCGTTTGATGGAAAAAGCTATGTATTTAGACTTTTATTATCTTTTGTTAAGTTTGTAATGCCAAGAAAAACATAACATGTAAAAAAGTACAAGTCTCCCAACGCAGTTCTTCTACTGCGAAAAGTTTTGAGTTTTCTTACACAACCAAGTCGGTTAATTTATTCAGTACCTACGAGTATATGTGGAAGTATCTATCCGACAACTTTATCGTAAATTGTTACCAAATTAATTAAATAACAACAATGTATAACGACCGCATCAATATTAGATATATTTATTTATTTACTATCAAGTTACCCTCGCTTCGCTCGGGTGTCTCCCTACGTACGTTTTTTTTTTTGAGCGGATCCCTAACACTTTTTCTAAAATAAAAATAGCTTAAGTTACTCCTTATAACATCATCTATCTGCCAGTGAAAGTCCCATCGAAATCGGTGTAGCCGTTTCGTAGATTAGCCGGAACAAACAGACAGAGGAATTTTAAAAATTATGTTTTTCGTATACATATATACCGTAGGTATATAATTTCATATGCATTTAATAAAAAGCTGTTATTTTGACATTACCTACATAAAAATACTTTAATTTTATTTATCTGTTGGTATAAATAGAACAACTTATATTGAAATTGCTTTATTAAAAAGCTGTATAAAATGTTAAAATATATACTTTATATAAAACTAGTGACTCACCCTCGCTTCGCTCAGGATCGTCCCGAGGTTAGTGTTAACGGTTAGTATGAAATAAAAATCTGAATATCTTGGCTTTTATATAATTTTTATTTAATATGCATGTATTATACCCATAAACCTTCCTCTTAAACCACTCTATCTATTGCTGAAAACCGGGTAGTTTAAAAGATAGCGAACAGACAGTGGCTATTTCATCTATACATATAATACAATTGCAACTAAGCCGAATCTGTACATTAGATATTTTTTGGAAAATCTTATTGAAATAAACATTATTATCGATATAGAGGCCGAATCTATAGTTTTTAAATTTTTGTCTGTCTGTCTCTCTGTTACCGCATCACAGAAAAGATACTGTAGGGATTTTGAAGAAATTTGGTATGGTCATAACTGATTATCCGGGTAACATATATGATACTTTTTACCGCGGGAAAATATCTCATTTCTGAGAAAAAATACAAGAATTGGTTAGAATAAAACCACGATGATACTATATATATTTAAGCAAGGTAACTTAGTAAATAAGGCAAAAACTATTAAAAATAGCTTATCTTGAAAAAAAATAACAATAGCGCTATTTTATTTGGTTTTTGGTCATCTGAACGCGGGCGGAGCCGCGGGCAATGCTAGTAAATTATAAAGAGATCCTCCATTCCGTGGGATATTGATGATTCATATGATTGATGATACGTAAAATGTTTTATCGTTTTTGAGCAAGCAATTAAAGTTATGTAAAAAATAGACCGTACGTGACAAAATACAATATAATGTGCATTGACCTTCGTCAATATTGACATACAATATCAAATTTGTTGTTATATCGTAGGTCTGTAAAATTCTAATTAAAGGAAATCATTGGCAAGAGTCCGTCCTTCTGTACGTATGTATGTGTGCGCTTATCTTGAAAACTTCTGAACGAATTTAGATGCGGTTCTCGTCTCTTACGATCTGTATTTCAGCAGGAAGAATGTGGTGAATATGAAATTGTTCTTGAACTCTTACAATAAGAGCCGAGTACATATTAAATCTAAATCGGCAGAAAAAGTGTTACTTGGGTACTTAATCCGCAAGCGCTGACCAACTGGTACAGAATCTTAGAAAGTTAGGTTTTTTTTGTAAATTCTAAACTTTATTAATCAGTTTACGCGGCGCACGTCAATAAAGCCACCAATTAGCACGATTCTTTTCGACATCTTTTAATATGTTGGTACATTAACACACAGCACCATCTAGTTCTATAACAAGCTACGAGGCCTGTGTTATGGATACCAGTAGTTGATACACTACACATAGATATATATAACTTTAAATACATACATATTATAAATATAATCACCCGTGACTGGAGTACAAACACTCGTGCTCGTTACACAAATGTATGCCCCCATCGGGCCTCGAACCCGCAACTGCTGGCACAGCAAGTAGGGTCATGTCGTCAACAATCATCGTCATATTTCAGCGAATTTGTACAAAACCTTAACGAATTATACACCTTAACCTTCCTCATGAATCATTACACCTATTGATGAAAACCGTATGAAAATCTGTTCGGTAGTTTTTGAGTTTATCGCGTTCAGACAGACAGAAGTGGAGGTGGACTTTATAATATGCAGTGATATTTTTGGGTAACAAATTGATGTAAATAGAATCAAAAATTTATTAAACGTTTCAAATTACATTAATTTTTAATTAATGTGAATTTTGTATAATATGTCCCATGGAGGTTCCGATCTTTAAAATGTTCTGCCTAAAATCGATTTTTTATAGAATATTAATTTAAAATCATTAAGAGATAGATTTTCTTGCATAATTCTATTAATTATAATTTGTTAAAAAACTGATTCCTTTCATTTTACAGTCTATAAATAAATACGAAATGTTTTGCAAAAGAAATTCTTTAATTGTAATTTGTAATACACATATTTTTTCATTCAGATCCAGCGTTTGAAAGGTTTTTAGTAGACGTAACCATTGCATCCGCAACCGCAACTGCCAGCGATGCAAACCGACCCAGCAGCAGGGACAGCTCCATCGAAACAAACAGAGCCCAGGATGGGCACCTGTCCACCGACCAGTGTGGAACCAGCAACGGGCAGTTGCCCAAACACTAATACATCACCGCTGCCAGAACCACCGTAAGCTGCTGAGGATAAGCCGTAGTCAGAACCCCAAGCCGAGAGACCAGCTCCAGGACCTGCAATACCGTCTAGACCATACGCTCCAATAGAAGAAAGTCCGGAATTTAGACCGCAACCCCTGGAACCCCAGAGACCAGCACCGTAGCCGATAGCAGCTGGACCAGCAGTCGATAAGCACTGACTGAACACATCCTATAAACAAAGAGACTATTAAGAAAATGTTCATAAACATCAACCAGTATCATGTTTACAAGTTTTTATTAAACTTGTAATGTTAGTATGTATGTTTGTTCGGGTCAAAACTTGCAACTGATTTTTTTTTAAATTATCCTTAACCGATTGAACTGCAATGTTGCATACACGTTTAGTTTGGATAAGAATGCATGGCTATATAAGTGACGTTATTCTAAATCCGACATGGCGGACTCCCAAAGATGGCGGAATATGTTTTTTATGCACCCCCATGTTATGGATGTCAAGTTAAAGGGTTTGCTGAGAGGAATACGAATAAATAACTAAAAAATTAACTTTAAATTATATCAAACCCATACATTTACTGCACAATTTAAAGCTTGTTTAAATTTAAAAAAAACATTAATTTATTATCTATTAGCTTACCTGAACCAAGCAAATCTGAACACATAATAAAAAGAATGCAAAACTCTTCATTTTTAAGGCTTTTTACTTTGTAATTGACGTATGTATAAGTAAACAAGAGACTTCTCCGACACAATGGCTTACAAAGCAATGCTGTGGTTTTATACTAGACGTATTATCGAGCCTTTAGTGCTATCAATATTTTGCAAGATCCAAACGTTGCCTATCTATTTAAAATAAAAGTCGGTCAAGTGCGAGTCGCATTCGCACACGAAGGGTTCGGTACCATCGTACATGTACTTTTTATTAATATGACTTTTACTCTATATATTATGTAGTTAGTATATTGACTTCAATGATAGATTACGAACATTAAAAGAATTTTCTTGTATTTTTGTTTATTTATTTTTATTCGTAGTGAAAATTTCAACTCTTTACCTATTACGGTTCATGAGATACAGCCCTCTGACAGACGGACGGACAGCGGAGGCTTATTAATACGGTTCCGTTCGCAACCTTGAGGTACGGAACCCTAAAATGCAATATCGTGCTATTTTGCATAGTTACCTACTGTTCTATTAAATATCTGTGAAAAATAAAAATAGTGGAATTGGACATCACGTACGTTTTTGTGATATTTATGCATTTGTAAATTTTCATCATATGCACTGATAATGATTGATTGAGTCATTTTAAATATAAAAACTCATGGTTATTTCTAAGAAATCATTCGCCAGTCGGTATCTGACCAAATACAGCAAGATGTCTAAAGCTTTTCTTATTGTCTGTGCTCAAGCGGCCCTTATTCACGTAAGTTGTTGATATTTCCTTGTAAAGAGAATATACATTTTAAAATTTACCTTTTACGCATGGTTTTTTTATTTTAACAATCAATCCCTTGGCTTTTTCCCGACACGCTTAGTTTGTAGTGACCCTCTTTGCTACGCCAGCGGTCGCGGGTTCGAGTCCCGCTGAGGGGCATTCATTTGTTTGATCATTCAGTCATTGGTGTTATATTTAGAATATGTATGTATTTAAAGTTATATACGTGTAGTGTATTA